CTCTGCCCCAGGGTTTTTATAGAGACGCCAAGGGGTGGAGCAAAAGACCTCCTCCCCCAGCACAGCCAAGTGCAGACCATCTCAGACACCTGCACTCAAGCCCGTGGTCCTAATCATCCTCTATGCGGACCTGCTGGGTAAAGCCACGAGGAACCCGAGAACGGGCTCCCACAGATCCCCAGTATGCACACAAAAGAGAGGGGCGTGCCTAGTGGCCTGCCTGTAATCCCAGTGGTTGGGAGGCAGAAATAGTAGATTCCTTTGGGCAAGCTGGCTAGCTAAACTAGTTAAATTGGCTAGCTCCAGGTCCACTGAAAGACCCTGCCCCAGTAAACAAAATGGGGAGCAAATGAGAAAGATACTCGGCTTTGACCCCAGGCCTCCACACATACGTGCACACATGCATACACACTCACACAGGCAAATATGCACACACAAGCACACTGCACACAAAAATACAACAAATAAGTAAATTAATGAGCCGGTAAATTCACAAGTTTGCCAGCACAATTTTTTTATGGTTTCATTTACTTTCTTTGATTTTTTAATTTATTTACTATAATTGTATATGTTCAAGTGATGGGGGTGGGCAGTGCACATGTGGAGATCGGAGGACAACTTGCAGGAGTCAGTTTTCTCTCCTTCCTCCCTGTGGATTCTGAAGATCGAACTCAGGTCATCGGGTAAATTCCTTTACCTGCTGTCTCTCTGGCCCAATGTTGGGGTTTTACAAGGTAGCTAAAGCAAGAACAACAACAACAAAAAAAGAATGGGAGAAACAGATTGGTTAAACACCAGGTTACTTTCTTTCTAAGCTTTAAAGCAGAAGATGTCTTGTCATTAAAGTTATGGGACTTTTTCTGACTAGTTGCTACTAGTCTCCTTAGAAAACTGATCTATGGCCGGGCGTTGGTGGCACATGTCTTTAATCCCAGCACTCGGGAGGCAGAGCCGGGCAGATCTCTGTGAGTTCAAGACCAGCCTTGTCTACAGAGTGAGATCAAGGACAGGCACCAAAACTACACAGAGAAACCCTGTCTTGAAAAAACCAAAAATGAAAGAAAGAAAGAAAGAAAGAAAGAAAGAAAGAGAGAGAGAGAGAGAGAGAGAGAGGGAGGGAGGGAGGGAGGGAGGGGAGGGGAGGGGAGGGAGGGAGGAAGGAAGGAAGGAAGGAAGGAAGGAAGGAAGGAAGGAAGGAAGGAAGGGAGGAAGGAATAAGATGTGTCTATTTGGGAATTTTCCTCTTTCCTTACTACTTAGTGTTTCTAACATTCACGACTCATTTTGGTTTTCCCTACTGGGGCCTTGTTCAGGAACTCAGCCCAAAACAGTAGCTTTCTATATGTCTCAGTTAACAGTGTTTAATCTTGGCTTTCTACACAGCCATGGGGTCATAGTAGTAATCTACAACTTTGTATTTTACAAGTGCTTTTCATTTTAGACAGAGGATTTGGAGGAATTGAGCTGGAATTGAGCTGGGAGCCTCCTCACTGGGGACTAGTTCTCTGTGATGCAAGGTTCCCAGGGAGAAAAGCAATCAATAGTCCTACCCAGCTCTAAACCCTATGAACCACAAGAATGACCAACCCACCAAGGTATTCCCAACAGTGCAATAATGGCACTCTATTGTAAGGCAACCAGCAACTGTCTAACTGTACTTAAGGCTCACTCAATAGGAGGGACTTCATGCCTGGCACTAGAAACATAGCCAACTACCTGTGGCTGGTGATGTCACAGGTCCTAGAGAACCTACTACTGCTATGTAGCTGAAAGTTTTCCTGTGTCCCTCCCGATCCACAGCCGCTCAGACCCAAGTAAACACACAGAGGCTTATATTAATTAAAACTGCTCGGCCATTAGCTCAGGCTAACTACTGACTAGCTCTTACATTTAAACTCAGCCCATTTCTGTTCATCTATATGTTGCCACATGTTCCATGGCTTTACCTGTATGCCATTGTATGCTGCTCTCTGGACAGTAGGCTGGCATCTCCTGACTCAGCCTTCCTCTTCCCAGAATTCTCCTTGTCTGCTAATCCCACCTATATTACTGCCTGGCTACTGACCAATCAACATTTTATTTATCAACACACATTCGCAGCATACAGAATGACATTCCCATCACTGCTACTTTCCCAAACCGATATAATTCCTAATTTCATTTCTAATACTTATTCTTATACCCACAGATAAGTATAGCTCTAACTCATTGGCAAAGAAACCTCTTTCTGCAGCACATGGAGACCAGAAATGCACAGCTGGTCAAAATACAGAGAACATACCATGGGGGTGCCCAGCTCCAACTGATACATCCACAACATAATCCCTTATACCTAAGGTTCAGGGAACATCACAGATTGTAGGAGCCAGAGAACTGACTGTGAAATAGTATCTTCTATATATGATGGGAAACTGCACTTAAGAAATTTTGGCTGGGCCTGGTGGCATATACCTTTAATCCCAGCACTCAGGGAGGCAGAGGCAGGTGGATCTCTCTGAGTTTGAGGCCAGCCTGGTCTACATAGTGAGTTCCAGGACAGCCAAGGGTGTTACACAGAAAAACTCTGTCTCTTGAAAATCCAAAGAAGAAGAGGAGGAGGAGGAGGAGGAGGAGAAAAAGAAATCTCAAGAGTATGGTCACCTAAACAAGACCTGGATAATGACAAGAGTTGACATGCCAACATGACTGGGGGAGCTCTCTCAGGGCCCATCTCTAGATGAAGAGCTGCAGGCAATGAATGGTTCGCTAAGAGAGGAGGAGCCACCTTCTCCAGGGACGAGCTTCCTGATAGGTCAGCCAGTTTCAGGTGGTCAACCCTAAACACCTGTACATCAAGTGGACTCAGCAGCATGTATGTGTATGTGTGTGTGCACATGTATGTGCACATATACATATAAATAACAAAGATGAAAAGTTCATGAATTTCAGATGTACTTGGGGGGGAGCACAAGAGGAGTTGGAGGGGAGAAATGAAGTGAATGCAGTACACATGCAGAAAATTCTCCAACAAACCACAATAATAAACTAGTGTTTTCCCATGAGCTTTCCCACTGGGGCCTGAGAATCAACTAGCTGATTAGGACAAAAATACTCCTGTTTTCACTGGGCATGGCAGTGCATGCCTGCAATCCAAGCATCTGGGAGGAGGCAGAATTATGAGTTCAAAGCCAATCTTAGGTTTTATATCAAAAGACCAAAAAGCAAATAACAATAATAACACCCACTCCCCTTCTGCAGTTAGGCAAACAACTGCCATAAGATGAAATCACATCATCATTAACCCTATGGTAACTGTCTATTTCTGTTCCCAGGTTGTTCCTTTGTAAAGAGGTAGAGGTTGAGACTGAGGAGGGCGTTGCGGTCCGTATGTTCCTTTTCTTTAAAAAAGAAAAACTTTTGTGATTAAAACTGCCGTTTAGAAAGGCACATTCCCTAGTGCAGTGCCGTATTTGGATGTCTTGGAGTCTCAGAAATTTGGCTACGTAATTCTCCTACAAAGTACCTTGAAAGCTTAAAGCTCTAGCAGAGGAACACGGGTACTCACATACCCTTGACTGAAGAACAGTCATCCTCTGTCAGAGAAGGCTGCCCTCTTCCTCAAATACAGTTTTGGCAGGGGCATTAACTGAAGCCATGACAAAGGGCAGAGACAGCCATCTAGCCAGACATATCATCCAAATGAACCCTGATGATCAAAGAGGTGACAAACGCCATGGCCAGATTGCCCTCCTACCCAGGATTTGATTTTTATGTTTCAATTTTTTTTTGAGACAGGATTTCTCTGTGTAGCTTTGGTGCCTGTCCTGGAACTCACTCTGTAGACCAGGCTGCCTCGAACTCACAGAGATCCGCCTGGCTCTGCCTCCTGAGTGCTGGGATTAAAGGCATGCGCCACCACTGCCCGGCTTTTTATGTTTCAATTTTAAAAGCTATAAATGCAGAACAAATCCTTTTTGATGTTGAATAAATTGTAGAGAAAGTCTTCAAGCATAATTGTGATGGTCCCCTAACTAAATTAATAAAAGGCGAGGTCTAAATTGGGAATTTGGACTGTGGGGACCTACGTTGGAAAGATCTGTCTTGTCCCCAGACTTTTCCTTCTCCCTTCCCTAGCCCCCTGAGTGGTCTGAGGTGAGCAGCCTCTTCTACCACAGGATCCTCCTGCCATAGTGTTATACCACGGTCCAAAGACAAAGGGCTGAGTGACCATGGGCGATGCTTAAGTGCTGGGGAGTTCTAGATCACTGCCACTTAGCAACACTTGTTACCTAGCCCTTAACAGTGATTTTGACCGCCAATCTATTGAGACAAGATACTTCAGAACATAGACATAGAAGGATAAAATTGAGAGTGACTGAATTTATATTATCAAATTACTGTATCCCAAGTGTCTACAGGAAAGTGAGAAAAAAAACTTGGTGGTTCCTGCTATTAATTGTATCATTTTTCTGATTACAAATAGAGTGAATATGCAAAATAATTACATAATGTAAAACTTGAAAAGTAAAAATGTCCTATAACCTCATTTTCATGGGAAACATCTCTCAAGATTTGGTGAATTTCCTCAGAATTTGTTTTCTAAACACGTGCTGACAGTTGTCTTTTTTTTTTGGTTTTTCGAGACAGGGTTTCTCTGTGTAGCTTTGCGCCTTTCTTAGAACTCCCTTTGAAGACCAGGCTGGCCTTGAACTCACAGAGATTCGCCTGCCTCTGCATCCCGAGTGCTGGGATTAAAGGCGTGCGCCACCATCGCCCGGCAACAGTTGTCTTTCTAAAAATGGCAACATGTGCCGGGCGGGTGGTGGTGCATGTCTTTAATCCCAGCACTTGGGAGGTAGAGTCAGGTGGATCTCTGAGTTCGAGGCCAGCCTGGGCTACAGAGCGAGATCCAGGACAGGCACCAAAGCTACGCAGGGAAACCCTGTCTCGAAAAAAAAAAAACAATAAATAGATAGATAGATAGATAGATAGATAGATAGATAGATCGATAGATAGATAAAGGCACCATGCACCACACTCTATTTTGCAACTTTTTTCCTTCATTTAATTGTATAGCCTGAACTTTTTCTTGTGTCTGTACCTACCATATTCTCTCTCTCTCATTCTCTCTCTCTCTCTCTCTCTCTCTCTCTCTCTCTCTCTCTCTCTCTCTCTCTCTCTCTCTCTTCTCTCTCTGTATGTATGTGTTACTTCTTTCATCTGCTTGTTTGAATCTTTTAAGCCAAAAACATTTAGTCAGAACTCAACACACACACGCACACACACACGCACGCACGCACGTACTCACACAATATTACAAATTATACACACATATACAATTTTATACATGAATGCTGTGCATACTGACCAATTTCATCCCATCTCCATCTCCCTATTACCCCATCCTCCCTCCCCTTCCCCACAACCTTCTCTCTCTCTCTCTCTCTCTCTCTCTCTCTCTCTCTCTCTCTCTCTCTCTCTCTCTCTCTCTCTCTCATGTTCATCTCTCATGTGCATGTCGTTCTGTGGCCCCACGGAGATTAACCAGGGCCATCTGTGTAGGTTTGGAGAGGTCCATTGGAGTCTAGAGGGCTCAGCAGTGGGTGCACAAGTAAAGACAATGATTCCTCTTTTCCAGGAATCTATCAATAGCCAACAGTTCAGAGTAAAGGGTAGGACCCATAAGCCTCTTCCTCTTCCTCATCTTCCTCTTCCCTGACCATGGATAGTGCCCAGTGCAAGTAACTAGTTGGTGGTGGCAACGGTTACGTGGAGCCTAGAGAATGGTATTTCCCAGCCCTTCATGTTATCTTCCTGCTCTGACATCCTTCCTGCTCCCTCTTCCACATATTCCCTGAGCCTTACCGAGGGTGATAGTGAGTGTTTGTGGCTGGACTTATGCCTGTTGCTTATGCTCTGCATCCTGGCCAGTCATGAGGCTCTGCGTTCACTGCTCATTGCAAGAGGAGGCTTCTCTGACGACTGGGAGCCGCTTTGTCTAGGGTGGACAGAAAGGTATTTAGAAACCGTTATGTCGGTTTAGTTAACCATCAGAAATATGCCCACTGCCTGGGCCTACTGCTTCTCCACACCTGGACTGTTAGTCAGCCTTACAGTACCATGAAGTCAAACACTTTTAAAAGTAGGAATTGGAGTTAACTTTCTGGGATTTCTCTTATCTCACTGTCTTCATTCTTTTAGTTAGTGAAAATGCGGTACTGGCTAAAAATCCAAACCTCATAGACTCCCAGCTACCATATGAGAACTTTCTCCACTCCTACTTCAGTCACTACAGGGCTCTGGGCATATTCTCTGTCCTCTCTAGCCAGCCTATACACGCCTGTGCCCACTCTGTTCTCAGGAAACTCTGGTGTGAGTAACAGACTTTCCCATAAAGTCTCTGCTGGTGATGTCATCAACTTCTACAATCCACCTATTCATCGAGAGTGGGGTTCTATCTGTTTGTGCAGAGGGAATCACAGACTAATTAGCCTTGTGGACAGGATGGTCTAGAATGTGGCCACACTCCTTGAAGAGCTTTTCTCTCCTGCTCCGGGTTTCCTCACTGAGAATGAACTTCTGCATAGAGTGTGGATGTTTCCACAGAGTACTGTGAACTGGGCTACACTGGGCTGGACTTGATCATCCCCAAAGAGCCTCTGCCTTAGGTTTAACAAAGCTGGACTGGGGGAACTTTAAGTGCCAGAAGAGAGTACCTCCATAAAGTGCCCCTGTGCTGAGTGTCTTCATCTGAACATATCTGTGTGTCTCACACTTAATGATATCTCAGTTTCAGCCTGTTATGATGGAGTTGGGCTCAGGGAAATGACTTTTCCCACAAGTTACCATGGTAGATTTTATGTCTCAACCAGGAATCAGCTCCCTTTCTATGGAGTGTTTAAGGGGCATAGTGATAACTCTATACAGTATATGATCATGACATCAATATCTAAATGACATCAGATATCACTCCAGAAAGAAAAAGAAAAATCACCTCACAGCATGCTGAGTTCTTGACTCCTAAATGCAGAAGCCTCACTAGGACCTGGTAATGGTTAGTTGTACATGTCCACATAAAGGGTCACGGTGCCCAGATGTATGATTGTTATAGTTTGGATCTGGAATGTATCTCAAACCCTCATATGTTGAAGGTTGAATCCCCAGATGGTGATGGTTTGGGCAGATGTTGGAAACTTTAAGCACTGGCATCTCTTTGAACGAAGTAAGGTCATTGGAAATTTGTCCTTGAAGGGTACGCTAGTACCCAATCCCCTCTTCCTCTTGTTTCCTTTGCTTCCTGGCTACCAAGAAGTCAACAGCTTTGCTCCAGCATGCTCTCCCTGGCATAATATTCTATTTCACTACACGCCTAGAGTGATGGGGCCAAGGAACCATAGACTAAAACCTCTGAAACTGTGAGCAAAAATAAGCCTTTTTTTCCATACTAGTTGATTATCTCAAGTATTTTATCACAGCCATGAAAATCTGTTACTAAAATCCCTTCTCTGGGGAAGAAGAAAGCGATATCTATCCCTCTTTGTAAGGCCCCAGGGACAAACAAGGCACAATCTTACCAGAATTCACTCAGGGGAACCAATGAATTTATTGGGTTTACTTATAAATCATAAGCAAAGGGCTACTTACAGGGGTGTGGATGATCCCTCACTAAAGGCTGCTCAGAAAGCCTTTGCCCAGCAGGGATGATGCCTTCTCCATAGACACGTAGATAGAGTCCCTCCTATGAGTCTTCCCTGGCCTGTAAACTCTAGTCCCTCTCCAGGGCCACAGGAAATAAGGGGATAATTACATATAACAGGTGGTATAGAGTGGCTGGACACTCAGGCGAGGGTCCTATGACCTTCCCCACCCCTCCTCCTATGAGGGCATGCAGTCAACAAGCCCAGCTGTGATGATCTTTTGAGAGCAGGAATACCTGAACTCCAAAAGATGAGGCTTGTTTGGCTTGAAGGAAAGTCATGTACAACAAAAACCGACCTACACAATGGTCAAACATTATTATGGTTGTTTCTGGAAGGGTGTTTAGGGATAAAATTAATATTCCATCAGTAGACTCTGTGTAAAACATACCCCACACACACACAATGTGGGGGGAGTGTCATCTTATAAATTCAGGCCCTACTAGAAAAGACTCTTAGTCCTTCTCTGAGCAAGAAGCAACTCTACCAACAGGAAGTGTAAAACTTGAACTTGAACATTGGTTTTTCCTGGACTTTGGTTTGTAGATTTTAAACTTATTAGCCTCCATAGTTGTGAGCAAATTCTTAAAATAAACATCTGGTCTGAATTGTATGTCTGTAATTCCAGCTACTTGGGAGGCTAAGGCATGAGGATTATGAGTTTGAGGACAACTTAGTCAACATAGTAAGATCTTATTTCCAAAGAAAAGAAGGAACAACTAGATCAAAGCAAATTAAATATTCCAATGATAATAAAATAAAGATCTCTTCCCATACACATATCCTATTGGTTCTGTTTATCTGGAGAACTCTGACTAATAATGACCTTTAGATGATTCTGCTACTGCCCTTGCCTATGTCCAGACACAGCAAAGATCCCAACCTTCAAAATGAAAGGGAAAACACACATGATGCCCTACACAGCAAACACATGAATAGAGGCCCAATTACTCTACCTTGGTCCTTTCTAAAAGGCTACAGGACAACACAACACTTATGGCTAATTGCAAAGCAGACCGACATCAAATGTGGGGACTGGTAAGTATTGCAGACTTAAAAAAAATACAGAAAACAAAACAGAAGCATGAGTGGTATCCATGCTCCTGGCACTCTTCAGACAACTCCCAGCCTTGTCCCGACTCCACTGGGTATTGGCGTTTTTAGGCATCATCATTTGAGGACAATCACCCCATACAGCTATATAGGACACTGACTCCCACGTAATAACCAAGTTTTATGTCTTTGGTTGATAGTAGTTCCCAAATCATGATGTTTCCCCAACGATTTAGGGGAAGAGCCTTCTATGTTTTCCAAGGTGTTACAGGACATATGATTGAAGGCAAACAAGTCCACCCTACCCACCCCAACCACCATTGGCCACATGCTGTCAAGTTGGAAAAGCCATTCTACTACTGAATATCACAGTTTTAGTCATCTGTATGGGCATTTATTATGTGTGCCTTACACTCATTGTGGGGTTATAACAGAGTAGGTGAAAGTGCTCTGTAGCCTGGGAAGTAGTCAACCACTGTGAGGTCTGATGGGGTAATCCCCAGAACAGGTTCCCATGTCTAAGGTCTTTTAGACAAACCACATGAGTCACGGCATCAAAGACAGCTTTATTGGTTGCTGGGTAAATCTCACACTTCCATGCCTGTGGACAAGGAAGGACTTCGCATAGTGTTTCCTCATCAGTTCTTGTTGCAAGCCAGATTCTAAGGAGTTTTATGATCTGCAATGAAGGCTTGACGTTGGCTCCAGTGAGAGCCAGTGACTTAACCCTACTTAATCCAACATAAAATTGGGAAATGTAGTAAATATCCGTTCACTACTTGGCCCTGGGCTTCTTGAAGACAGAAGCTGTGTCTTATTTGATAGGTGTATCTGCTGCATGAACTCATGCTTGGCACATGGTGGGCACTAAGTCAACCATTATTTGATAAACAAGGAAATACATGGGAGAGACAAGGTTGTTGATTTCTGCAACTGCTTTTTATAGCTAGTTTAAACTCTGTTCATTATTTGCCTTATTTTGTCCTATAATCTCTTTTTATTGTTCAATCATTTCATACAGTAACACAATGTATTTTGCTAAAAAAAAAAAAAACCCACCCCCATTCTCTCTCCTCCAATTCCTTCCCTGCCCTCCCACCAACTTTCCCCACTCCAACTTTATGAAACTCTGAAAAAAAGAAAGACTGCTGAGTCTCCTTAGTGCTACCCATATGTGTATGGATGTAGGACCATCAGCTAAGGCCTGGGCATCGCTCAGGGGCTGTATCCCAGCAGAAAGCTGACTCTTCCTTTCCTGGAAGACATCAAGCGCTAGCTTCAGCTAGGTGTGGAGCTTCAGGAGCCTCTCCCCTACCCACGCTGGGGTTTGGGCTAGCTTGATCTCATGCCAGGCCTTGTGCATGCACCACTGAAGTTCACATGTGCAACAGCGCTGCTATGTCCTATTTGCCTTACTTTTTACTGCATTTTGGTTCAGCATTTTCTTTCATTTATTAGCACATAAATATGTGTAGATGATAACTTATAGGCATAAATTTAACACATACATATAGTATCAGTTTGATCATTCAGTTGCTCAATCTGTTATTCTTCCTCTACAAGTAAACTAGAAGACATCTAAGACAAAATACTAGACCAGCCTTCATGCATAGGCATTCTCCCTGATGCTTCTGGGCAAAGATAAGTTCAAGTCCATATGATTTTAGCTTCTTTAACTACTGAAAAGTATTTCCCTTGGGGAATTCATTGGATATAAGAGAAAAGCCAGCAGAAGGTCACTGTAGGCCTGGATCCATATGAGTACTCAGTTTTAAAATGTGGATCTGCACAATGTAGAGCTGTTACCTAGATACTGAAATGCAGCCAGATGCGGCAGCTCAGACCTGTAGTCGCTGCACTTGTAAGCTGAAGTAGAAAGATGGTGAGCTGGAGGCTAGCCTAAACTACACAGTGATGAGCTGGAGGCTAGCCTAAACTACACAGTGATGAGCTGGAGGCTAGCTTGAGCTACACAGTGAGACCCTGACTCAAACAGAAAGAAAATGTAGAAACAGAGAAATTTTTTCCTAGCAAAAGAGTAAAAACAAAACAAAAGAATATTGCAAAGCCAGTTAATGAGCTAAGATTTGATTATTAAGAAAGCAACACATTTCATCAGGAGGCTTTCCTGCACAGAGCGACTGGTCTATTTTTTCCCCCCAGAAACTACTCACAAGAACAGAAACAAAATTCTGACTCCCTTTCCAATAACTCATGGAAAATTGAGACACACCCTTGTTTCAGTGTGACAATTTTAAGTAAACAGACTCATCTTTAAAATTTTGGTTAAAACTTCCTTTATTGACTTTAGTGAAAACGTTATTTTGCAGTGAGAATTGCTGGTCACATTTAGACTTTTGTGTAAAAAGAATAAGAAAAAAAAAAGCCTCCATAAACTTGGACTTGTGGGATGCCCCAGCAGGGAAAGGTCCTGTTACAAGCTTGATGACCGGAATTCAATCTCTGGTACCGGCGTGGTGGAAGGAGAGAACTGACTCCTAGTTTTCCTCTGACCTACATGTGTTCACTGTGGCATCCATGTGCATGTACACACACATACACATATACACACACATCAAATAGATCCATAACTTCTGTATTTGAGGTGTGGGGAAACTGTGGATTGTATCATTCCCGATGTTTCAACAAATCGTGGGAAGGCAATCTGGCCATTGAATCCTTCCCAATAGGTCCAAAGGATAAGCATGCACATTAGGTCAGATTGATTCCTTCCTTTGTTCTTAGAAAACACTGACAAGGTCTCTCCAAGGTAGAGGAACAGGAAAGCCCTCTAGTCTGTCTGTTAAAAGCGCTCACAACCTGCCATGAGCGAGTGAGTGCGTACCACAGCCAAAAGCACTTGGTACAAGTTGTAAGCTAGTGAACCGGACCCCAAACCTATGTATAGAAACAGCTTCAGGGGCGAGCAAGGAGAGAGGACGCACTTTCCCCAAGGTGTTACTAGAGCACACCACCACATCTGTCCCAAGCAGCAGCCTTTTGTAAAAATACCACCAGGAACATTCCTGGACTGGGATGTGCCCAACACAAAAGGCCACACAGGACTGGAACCACTGAAGCTTCCTATGGAGCAGTCAACCACACATCTCAAGAAAGCACAATGAGGGCTGGAGAGAGGGCTCCTGCAAGGACCCAAGTTCAATTCCCAGAACCCACATCGGGCTGCTTACAACCACCTGTAGCCTGTAACTCCAACACTAGGGGATCTGCTGCCTCCTGGCCTCTGCACTTGGACACAACCCACACACAAATACACATGTGAACAAATAATTAAAAATAAATCTTGAAAAAGTATTAATAGCGGCAACCCACCCTAAAACCACGACACTCAGAGACCCTATTTCACTCAAAGAAGCCTTCCCTGACAGCTCTTAGGTCGGTCTGGTGTGTTGTACAGGAAGGGGCTCTGCTTCTGCTTGCTTTATATAATTATTGGCTTGTCCCTGTTTCATCAAAAGAAAAAGTAAGTACACAAGAAGCTCAGTGGTTTCCACAAAAAAAGCAAAGCGAGCTAGTGGTGTCCAGAGGCCATACTGATGATGGATTCTCCGTTTCTCCTTCCTGGTTCCTATCCTTCAATTTTCTTCCTGGCATCTGTGGTCAGAACTGCTCAGCAGCTTGTAAAGCTAGAAATGACTGTCGAATAATGACACCTTGGTCCTTCCTTTATCTGGGAAGGACGCCACCCACGGCGTTCTTTTCTAGATAGTCAGTGTCTCCGTCAGCAGGATGGCTTTAATTGCCACCTCCAAGAACTCCACAAGGACTTTGTTGATGATTTTTTTTTTTAGTAAGGAAGCTGGAGCTTATTCAATGACAACCCCAACACCTCACCTAACACCCAGATGTTTGCAAGATGTTTGCCACTGGCTTAAAGGAAGTTAATAAAACTGATCTAGGTTGGGAGAAAAAAGAGAAGATGTGAAGAAAGCTATATAAAAGAAAATATCATTGAGTTGTTTACAAACATCATCTCACTTAATGCTCACAGAGTGCGCTGAGATAAGAGCATCTTTCTGTTTCAAAAGCCCAGTTCAAATACATGAAATCGCCCGTGACTACCCAACCCCTTAGATTTCAAATTCAGAGCTCTGCCCCCTTCTCCAGTAAAGGTAACCCCCTACACAATCTCAAAAGTCCACACCTTCTCATGTTCACAGACAATTTGCTCTTTTTTGTGTGTGTCCTTGGTGTATTTTAACTTTGGCTTCTGAGTGGGTTCCTTCTTTTGGTGTTCAGAGACGATCTAGGAAAATAAACGCTGAGATGCTTGCCTCTCGGTCTCTGTTACCATCTATCTATCCGCTTCTCAGCACAGCCACGCCTCCTCAGAGGTAGTCTCCAGTTCTTCACCCCCACTGAGGATTTCACCTTCTCCCATCTGTTCCTGTTTGCTCTGTGGCTTGTCCCCAAATACCTGGCAAGGTGCTTCGGTGGTGTCTGATTTCATTTTAGACTCTTTTCTTTCTAGGCTCTAAACCCAGGTCTCATCTAATCACAATATCGCATTCCGTAGTTACATCGGTTGTTCGTAACCCATAAGGTAGGGACATCTGATTCTACGGGAGCCAATCTGCCATGAGAAAGGCTTTGCTGGCTCTTTGTGGGAAAGATACATACTCATTCTTTCTTTCTTTCTTCTTTTTTCTTTTTGGTTTTTCAAGACAAGGTTTCTCTGTGTAGCTTTTGGAGCCTGTCCTGGAACTCACTTTGTAGACCAGGTTGGCCTCGAACTCACAGAGATTCACCTGCCTCTGCCTCCCAAGTGCTGGGACTAAAGGCGTGTGCCATCACCGCCGGGCTGCATACTCATTATTTCTGAGAATTTCTCAAATGATCATGTCTTCCTCTTTTGGATTGAAATGAGGAAGTGTGAACCTGGAAGTCACTGACAGCATCCGGGGTGGTGAGTTGAGGAAGGGAGGAGCACCATGGCATGAAGCTGACATTCAAGAAAGCTAAGTGGAGAGGCAAGATTCCAGTCCCTGACGACACTGTTGAATTACTGAGCCAAATTATCCCTGAAACTCATCCATCCTTCCTCTGACTTCCCGGTGGCTGAGTTAAGAAATCTATTCTTTTTTTTTTTTCAGGGCTGAGGACCGAACCCAGGGCCTTGCGCTTGCTAGGCAAGCGCTCTACCACTGAGCTAAATCCCCAACCCCCAAGAAATCTATTCTTTTAAATTACTTCTTTACTATGTGTATGGACATGTTAATACAGGCACACATCACAGCATGCACAAAGGGGTCAGACGACAACTTGCCAGCCCAAGAAATCTTCCTCAGTGTTGAAGTCAGATTAAGCCAAGCTTTTAGTCTCTTGTCACAAAACACATCTGGATGTTCCTGTTTCAGAACTGTTCTGGCCTCTTTAAGAGTAACCCCCACCTAACTGAATACAATGGTCTCTTTTGAGTGTCTTCCCTGCTCATCAGCACTTGACCGATACACATTTCACTCCTTCAGCCTCTGAGGTTGCCTTCCTTGATTTCAGGCTCTCTGGGGTGTCTCCTTCGTGTTCTCCCTTATTCAACATCCTTCACTAAATCCTTCAGCAAATCCTGAAACGCTGGAGTTCTCCAGGGGCTGATCACAGCACGCTTTGCTTCTCTCTTGACATCCTTAGGCAATGTCTTCTGTTTCCCTGTCTTTAAAACCCTTTATACGGCAATGACTCTCCAATTTATAGTATCCAGCCCAAGCCTCACTTCTGAGCCGTGACTGCCATGGTAATGTCTTTACTTAGAGGTCTCCCACAGAACTGCAAACCTAACTCGTTATGTTGGTGTGTTAGCTTTACACAGCCATGGACTATGACTGTCTTGCTCCCTGCTCTATCTCCGAACTCCAGCATCGCTCCTCCTGATACAGAGTAAGACAGACTTCCATGAAATTTCTGAAGGAATAAATAAAGTATAGGTCAATAATGGGTAAGTAGTAGACAGCTAATAAATAAGAGTAAATAAATATGTCCTTTCATTGCAAATAGCATTGTCCCTAATACAAATTTAGTAGAAGACAACTGATTTATCTCGACAGAGCCTGAGGATGGAGATATGGTTGGACTTCAAGAGCAGGGGGTTTTTTTAGTTTGGATGCTGTCAGGATTACCCTTTCGTTTCTTCATCATGAGCAGCTACTTCATCTTCCTCTCTATCCTCTTCTTTATTGTTCCTGTTCCTCAGGCCAACTGGGGAAGCTAGATCTTGGGCTGCAAGCTTCTTAAAGCTCCAGATGGCTGGAGGGTCACATAGTTGATCTGTTGTAACTGGTCTTAGCTGTACCGGTGTAGCATCAAAGCAGACACAGGCAATGTAAACATCCGGTTAAATTTTACAAAACGGGTGGGGGCCCCCCGGGGACCATAGGCTGTCCTCAGCCTCTTGCAGGTAAGATCCACATGTCAGTTCCCCAGTTTGTTGCTGTGCTGTCTCTAGAGCTGAGATCATTACCTTATCCTTGATGAGTGAAACCATGACCAAGTAGGCAAGGTCATGTTGCTGTGTGGCTACTCTTGCGGCAAGAGGCTTGAGAAGAGAGGGCAATCCTAGAGACAAAAACGCACAGCAAAGCTTCAGTGTCTCGAGTTCGCTCCTTAATCTTTCACAAATCGGCTCTGTCTACAAAATTCCAGAGTAGGCCCCATTCTCCCATGTGTGCATGGCCTCTTCCTTTTATCCTTGGCATCTAGTCCTACCCCTCTTTAAACTGTTTGTTTGTCTATCTATCTGTCTGTCTGTCTGTCTGTCTACCTATTTATTTATTTTCAAGGCAGGGTCTCACTCCGTAGACCAGGCTGGCCTCGAACTCTTGGAGATCTGTCTGCATCTGCCTCCTGAGTGCTGGGACTTAAGTCCTTCACCACCAAGCCAGCCTTAGTCCTACCGCTCTAAGTCCCGCCAATGCCATTTCTAAAATGAATGGCCAGCGTGTCTGCTCCATGTCTTATTTTCCCAGCCCATCTCCCCTGGCCTTCTGTAAGGCCTGCCACTAGTTTATTCTCTCTGGCCCACCTCACATCCGGCTAACGACCTGAGATCACTTAAAAACTGTGAATAATATGACTGCTGTTTTTCTGCAGAGTAACTAGCAGGCTGTATGGAGAGTGTTCCCACCGCGTCACTGGGATTCTTGGGATTAAGGAACTCAGATACGGTGGGAGAGGAATTGGAGGACATTGCTGGAAACCGAGTTCTCAAGAAGGAATCTCTCTTAGACTTGGATGACAATTCTTCTCAGAAGTTATTAGATGGAGGGTCAGAGTGTGCCAGAAGACTGAAGAGTTCAGGAGTCACCTGGCCAAAAGGGATTTTCCAGAACTTGAGAGCCAAATGCCTCTGGGCATCATCCATGGGGGAAGAAGCTCTGATGGCAGCCACACCCAAGTCCCAAGCCCAGGAATCCATTTTCCTCACCCATCACCTTAGAGAAGTAAATGAATAATAACAGAGGGGCTGCCGCTGGGTGTAGTAACCCATGCTTATCATCCCAGCACTCAGGATGCAGAGGCAGGAGACTCTCTGTGAGTTTGAGACCAGCCTGGCCTACATAGTGAACTCTAGGTCAGCCAGAGCTACATAGAGAAACCCTCTGCACGCAGCCCTCCACAAAAAAATGTATTTGTTGATTTGTTGAACGTAGCATTGATTATAGATGCTTTTAATCTGCATCACAGCAGACTTGTGGGATGTGTACTCCATTACTGGAGTCATAGCCATGCCAAGTGTTGGGAGGTGAGAAGACCATGAGGAGGGGCTGCCGAGACACTACAGAGGAGAAAACATGAATGAGCAGCAACAGACACTTCCTGATACTTTGGAGAGACAGAAAAGTAAACTCCTTTAGGAAGTTTGTTTTTTTGTGATGGCTAGAACAATTCTATTTTGGGAGCTCCTCAAACTAACTTTCTATAAAATTTTGTGTTTATTGTGGGAGGCTGTGGGCAAATGCAGGACCCAGCCAAAGGCCAGAGTAAGAAGACCCGGTCCTCGGAGACACAAACTCACACAGAGTAGAAGATCCTGGGTTCCTGAAGTAAAACAAAGACGGAAAAGGTGTGTGGGAGCCTGCCCCACCCCAATCTGGTCCTGGGCTGAGACGAGAGTATCTTGGACTGTTTCCAGCTTTCTCACCTAAGTGCAAGTGAAGCATGCTTCTTTCAAGCTCCTTTTTTTTTTTTTTTCAGAGCTGAGGACTGAACCCAGGACCTTGCGCTTGCTAGGCAAGCACTCTACCACTGAGCTAAAGCCCCAACCCCTTTCAAGCTCCTTTTATGGTAGTTTCTTGGTGTGTAGCCCAAGTGAGCCAAAATTTCCCTTCCTTTCCCTTCCCTTCCCTTTCCTTCCCTTCCCTTCCCCTTCCCTTCCCTTCCCTTTCTCTTCCCTTCTTCTCCCCTCCCCTCCCCTCCCCTCCCTCTCCTTTCCTTCTTTCCTTCTTCCCTTCCTTTCCTTCCTCTCCCCTCCTCTCCCCTCCCCTTCCCTTCCTCAATGTGCTGCCACATGGAGCCATTCCTTTATCTACCTTATCTGCCTTCTCTTCTCTCTCCTCACCTCTCCTTTCCTCATCTCTCCTCTCCTCTCCTCTCCTCTCCTCTCCTCTCCTCTCCTCTCCTCTCCTCTCCGCTCCTCCACTCTACTCTGCCTGCCCCCTCTCTCATTCACTTTTGAGATAAGGCCTCACTATGTCCCCAGACTGCCTTTGAACATCTGGGCTCAAGCCACACTCCTGCTGTTTCCTTTCCAGTAGCAGGGACTACAGTGCAGGTCACTAAGCCTGGCTACGTTTTCTTTTCTACACCCACTTCCACCCCTTAGACACCCCCCTTTGTCTAGGGACAGAAGAACTGGACAAGAACTGAACCAACCTGGGGATACAGATGGGCATCATTTCTGTGGAGCTGTTGCCAGGCAACATGCTGGCGGCTGACCAGAGACACATTTCCAGGACGCCAGCATGCCCTGGGTGCAGATGATGTGGTGTCTTTGTAGATGGGCCAGGGAATTCCTACATTTCCCCACACTGTAATAAAAAATTTCATTGCTTGCATGTCCCAGTTGCTGCTTCCGAACAAAACAGAAACAAGTCCCTTGGTCCTATTTGGGAAGGCAGGGATATGGTTTTCAGTGAGATACATGATTTTCCCTTTTGTTTTTTTGGCCCCAAGTTTGCCAATAGCAAGTAAGAACCATGGATTCTCATACTTCATTCTCAGATTTAAGATTTCAGGAATGCCTGGGTGTTCGAGTCTATAGCCTTCCTCCTAGTGGCCCAGCCGGTGGCCTTGCCATCTGTCCGCAGTAGCTTCGTCTGTTAACCTGACATAGCCTAGAGTAACCTGAGAGACTCTCAATTGATAGATTACCCTCAGGAGATCGGCTTGTGGCTATATCTGTGAGGGATTATCTTGATTGATTATTACCATGAGAGGACCCAGGACCTAGCCCACTGTGGGCAGTGCCATCCCTAGGCAGGTGGGCTATCTAGGAACGGTTGTGCTGAGCATAGGTCGGGGGACAAGCCAGAGATCTAGCTGGTGATCATTGTTCCGCTGTAGTTTCTATTTTAGTTCCTTCTCTTTCCTTCCTTTGTCAGAGTGTTTTGTCACAGCAACAGAACAAAGGCTGGGAAACTAGAGGTTCTGAGATCCCACAGAACATTTTTTTTTTAAAAGTCCTCTTTATTGTTATTGTTACTGTGGATTATGGGCCCAGACAATACCCTTATGGGCCTGCTCTAATAAAGCAATTGTCTAAAGTGGGTAGAATATAGGGAACAGAGCCATACCAATTTATGTTTAGACAACATGGCACTGATATGAATATTTATCATGGGCCAAGATGGGGGGAACACAGGGGGCTATGAGTCAGAAAAAAAAAAGGCTGGCACTGGATGTCTAGGGAACCCCCACATAAACACTAATGTAATCTGTAATATAGCTATTTCTGTGAGAATGCCACTTTCATATCTGTTTAAAAATGGCCTGAGCCAGGTGTGGTGGCACACGCCTTTAATCCCAGCATTTGGGAGGCAGAGGTAGGCAGATCTTTGAAGTTCGAGGCAAGCCTGGTCTACAAAGCACGTTCCAGGACATCCAGGACTTTTACACAGAGAAACTCTGTCTTGAAACACCGAAACAAAAAAGAAAAGAAAAGAAAAAGAAAAAAATGGCCTTGAGGTCAGAGACCTTCCCCTTCTCCAGTCTGCCTGTTTCCACCTCCCTGTAGGCCTGTGTGCTAGACTGCATGTTGATATGTGCCTGGGTGTCTGTCTGCTTAACAACCTGTGTGCTGGTGGATAAATCACTTACCTATGATTCCTCATGTTCTCTTCAATCTCTCAGCCTTCTGTGGTCCGCCTCTTGTCCTGGTATTTGAGCTTAGACCTCAAACTGTCTCAGCCATGGATAGGGACTCCTCAAAATCTGAGCTGGAGATGTTGACTTGTAAACATCTCAACTCATCCTCACTACAGACTAGGAGTTTAGGAAAATCCAAATCCCCTTCCTCTTCCCTTCCCTCCTCCTTCCCGCTTCCCTCCTCCCTTCCTTCCTCCTTCCTTTCTTCTTTCTTCCAGCTTTCTCTCACCCTTCTCCTTCCTCCATTTCCCCCCATCTCTTTCTCCATTCCTTCCTTTCTTGCTCCCTTTCCTGACAGCACACCAATAAATGGGTGTGAATAAAGACAGATGTTGGGCCTGAATGTGCCATCATGAACCTGCAATTAGGATTTGTTCTTCCGAGGTGTGGTAAAGAACTAATTGGTTGATGTGTGCAGAATGCCAGGACATTCTTGAATAAATCCCTATATGAGTTCAAAGTATTTGTAATTATTATGATTATTACTATAATTTATGAGATTTAGCTGTAAATCTTATAATAAGATGAGGTCAACACTTTTAAAAAGAGGAAGCAGGATGAGACCCTATATAAAGTGCCGTGTGCTCCCTGACTCTAAGAAGAGCTGACTGAAGACAGGTGAGTATGAAACCGACCCTAGACTTGTTCCGAGCTTATTTAGAATGAAAACTCCAGCATATGCTAATCGATTGATAATGATTGTGTTTCTGCTTCTGAGTAAATAATATTGAATCAAATGAAACTTAAAGACCTTGCAAGAAAACCTCAAGTTTTAGAAATGTGAGATGACAGAATAATTCTTTCCTACTCATTACAATTGTTATACAAATTTCTATTTCTTTCCATGCGTGTGCAGGGCTTCTTTTGAATATGTGCACATGCACACGACCAAGAACAGGGGGACAGAAATAGACGTTCTTTTAACAATACCTGTAATAGTGGAGCCATATAGAAAGATGGGGAAAATTATGGGCTGTTGATAGGGAAAGGAGCCTCTCACTTCTGAACCTGGTTGAGGTCTCTCACCAGCTGAGGAGCAAGAACTTCAGCACAATCAACAACTTTGCTCCCTAAATTTTCTAAACCCATGGTTTTCTAGAAATTGCACCAGAAACCTCATTTTCAGGGAAAGATGTCCTGAATGACTTGGGTAACCCTAGTGGCTCTTGGCTTCACCTCATCAGATTATAATTCCATTCAAGGCATCTCCACAGCTGCCTTATAAGCTCATTTATCAGAAGAAGAGAGAAGGGGGGATTTCTAAGCACCTTCTGAGATAAGTTGAGAGCCACCAAAATGGCATATATGGCTAGCCATAAGACCCCTACTTGGAACTCTCCCTTGAGGAACCCATAATCATACCTGGTTATGTCTTAATTTTTTTTTCCTTTTTGGTTTTTCGAGACAGGGTTTCTCTGTGTAGCCTTGACTATCCTAAAACTCTTTCTGTAGATCAGGCTGGCCTTAAACTCACAGAGATCTACCTGCCTCTGCCTCCTGAGTGCTGGAATCAAAGGCATGTGCCACCACCATCTGGCTGTGTCTTAATTTTTGCTATTCTCTTGTGGGAAGCCAATATCCACACTTAGGTATGTCTTATTTTCTTCCTAAGTGCCCCTCTCTTCTAACCTTTATGTTTAGAGCCTATAGTAATATATTTTCATTAAAATCAGCAACTCTACATCATACTGTCTAGTCCTGAAATTCTTCTCTGTCAAAATCATTAATCCTGGGTTTGCCTGAGTTGAGGTCCTTAAAAGATTAAAGGACCTCCTCGGGCTGCTGAGGGTGAGATAGCAGAGCCGTGTGTCCATCCTCTCCCTGCTGACAATAGACCAAATAGAATGTCTCTTTCATTTTATAAAACCAAAGAACTAAAACACTGGTGCCTGCCGGATGGTAAGCCTCTCTCCTTTTCGTGCTCAATCTTGCTGATGAAACATTGACCCAGACATCACAAGTACGTGTTTGGGCGAGGTCCTGCTTTTTCTGCAAACTGTGAAATAGCTAAGGCCAGTGTATCTAACACTGTGGTTCTCAACCTTCCTAATGCTGTGACCCTTTAATACAGTTCCTCATGGTGTGGTGACCCCCAACCATAAAATTATTTTCATTGCTACTTCATAACTGTAATTTTGCTACCGTTACGAATCATAATGTAAACATCTATGTTTTCTGATGGATTTAGGCAATCCCTGTGGGGGGGTCGCTTGGCAAACCCCCAAAGGGGTCGTGACCCACAGTTGAGAACTGCTGGTCTAACAGTTTAAGTCTTGGTTATCAGAGTTAAAAGATGGACATCGTTTAAGAGTCTATGATGGAGGAAGCCAGGATCTTTTTGATTAGATATCCAGAAGGGAATACTCCTAAACTCACACAAGGGCAATGGTCTTCTCATCTTCTTTCTTAACCCTGACAAAGTGAGAAAGAGTAAGAACAGAGGTACACAGACAGAAGCCCCTTTCAGACAGTCTCCGCAGTAAAGGAAGCGTTTATGGACCTGCCAACCAGGAGGGAAGAGACTTTCCGCAAACCTTCTAAGGTTTTCTGGCTGGTGCTTACAGCTCATAATCCAAGCTCAGCAAAAACATGTGATTGTGGACCTTAGAAAAATGCAATCTGTGAACAGGAACAGTTTAAAACACACATGGGCACACGCCTGTTATCCCAGCACTGGGGAAGGTGAAGCAGGAGGATGTCCAGTTCCAGGTCAGCCTGGATTACAAGGCAGTCAAGCTGGACATGGTAGCTCACATCTGTAACCTCTGTACTCAGTAGGCAGAGGTGGGAACACTGCAGATTTGAAGCCAGCCTGGGCTAGATGGCAAGTTCTAGGCCAGGCTATGAAACCCGATCTCAAAACACGAGCAAGCAAAGATCTGTAATGTTGCCGCTTTATATTGTGGTCTAAAAAGTAGATTTTATTTCTCTAGGAATGCAACCCTGGTGGCAGAAGCACTTTATGTTTATGACTGTCATTGCTACTGTCATTTTAATTTAAGGACCATCAGGGCAAAGTAGTCTGCAAGACAGTGAGTCTTTACCACGTGTTAGAAGTGAGGAGAAGAACAGAACACCAGGAGGGGTGTGAGTGAGAAAGGATGTGCTGGAATGGTACATCCACCTACCTGGGGAAGGTGGATGGAGAGGTGGGTTAGCAACAAAGCAAGGGCATCAGCCAAGCTTGTAGTGAGAGACCATGTCTAACGTGGTACATAGCACAGTTCTCGGTTCCTCCAGGATCAAATGGGCCACGCTCATCTCTCTGACACCAGGGTGTTGATGCAGCACATTGCCAAGCTGGCTGGAGGGCCCCAAGGTCATGACTTGCTATCTTTTCAAGGTTAAGGTGAAGATCCATGGCATTCATGGAAAAGGATTGGGACTTCTTGTTGAAGGACTGTAAATGCCAAAGACCTTTATTTCTACTTCTGGCCTCCAATTATTGAGAGCTGAGGAAGAACTGTCAGTCCATCACAAGTCAATACAGTGCTTTGGAAATTGCAGGGTGCCCAGTCGGGAAAAGACAGGTAGAAGAAGATGTCCTGACAGAGGCCATGAAGAATGTCAACTAGCCCCCAAGGGATGCCCTGGTTATCTTTCCAAAGATGGCCTGTTGCTGCAGCTTGACACTCCCTCGCTGCCTTGACATTTTAGCTCTTTATATTGGGAGGACGGTGTCATAGTAGATATTGTGACTGATATCAGGGCATCACACTCACCTTGGCTGACATTTCCAAATGGCTTTGAGTGTGGGGAGTGGTCAGGGTCATAGCAAATGGACACTCCTTGAAGAACACACCCTGAGATGCCTCGGCTTTTAAGTATAGAGTACTTTTTGATACCTGGACAAACTGGACCATGAAGTCTGAGTCACTCTGCATTCTGTTTATGAATGGACTACCTTGTCTATCCACACAAGAAGTCCATTGTCACTTTTTGCTCTGAACCTAATACAACTGAAAATAATTGTCTTGCACATGTGACTACAGCGGGCACCAGAAAGTGACTTTATATTGTTAAGTAACTGGTGCACGCGTTCACATAGACTGTGCTCAGTGCTTGCTCAATGCAGATGTTTAGTTCCATTTGTGGGAAATGGGGTAACTCTCATATTGCAATGAAAGTTATGTCTTTCCTCTTGGGTTTCCAATAGGAAGCATCTTCCTTTCCAGGAAAATCAGCAAAAATAATTGAAGTGTTCCGAGGTCAGCATTTGAGTGAGAGCAGGGCTGTTTTTCTAAAGAACCGTTCCAAAAAGCTGATGAGATATCTCTATAAAGCCGATGGCTAATCTTGGTTATCTACTTAACCCACCCAGAAAGAGAAAGCCTCTGCTAAAGAAGATGTGAGAAACTCAGTCCAGCAGATTGTCCTGTGGGTGTGTCTGGGGCAGGGGCATTTTCCTGATTAAAGATGGATGTGAGAGGTCCTGCCCATTGTGGGCACTGCCATCCCTAGGCAGGTGGTCCTGGGCTGTGTGAGAAAGGTAGCTGAATGTGAACTTGAGGGCAAGTCAGTAAGCAGTGTGCCTGCAGGGTTTCTGTTTCAAGTTTGTGCCATTCCGGAGTTCTGACCTGTTTGAGTTCCTGTCCCCAATGTCCCTTAGTGATGGACTTTAAGCTGCAACATGAAATACACCCTTTTTTCTCCAAATCAATTTTGGTCTTGGCGTTTACCACAGCAACAGAATCAAACTAGGAGAAAGGGCATGTTCTTGTGAGACTGTGAACGTTCTTTTTGTACCTAAGCTCTTTCTCCAATTCTTTTTTTTTTAATAATTAACTTAATTTAATGTGCATTGGTATGAAGGTGTCAGATCTCCTAGAATGGGAGTTACAGACAGTTGTGAGCTGCCACATGGGTGCTGGGAATTGAATCCAGGTCCTCTGGGAGAACAGCTAGTGCTCCTAACCCCTGAACCATCTCTCCAACCCCTCTTTCTCCAATTCTTTTCGGGGATTCACTTCCTCTCTTACATCCACTCCTCAGAGACCAGAAATGCTGAGTACATGGTTTCTTGTTTTGTTTTTTGTTGTTGTTGTTTGTTTGTTTTTTGTTTGTTTGGTTTTGGTTTTTTTGAGACAGGGTTTCTCTGTGTAGCTTTGTGCCTTTCTGGAACTCGCTTTGGAGACCAGGCTGGCCTCCAACTCACAAAGATCCACCTGCCTCTGCCTCCCGAGTGCTGGGATTAAAGGCGTGCGCCATCACCGCCCGGCCAAGTACATGGTTTCTGTTGAGGGAAGAAATCTGAATACTCCTGCAGATGCAGCTAACATTTCAAGTTTCTAAATATTTCTGGTCACTGAACACATTTTCTACCGAGCCAAAGGAAATCAGACAGACCGTTTCAATGCTGTAGGAAAGATAAGTAGGAAGCATGGCTTGCTGTATGGCCACATGCTCTCTCAGTTTGTCAAGATGGAAATCCAGTTACTTCCTGAATGCCTCTCCATCTGAGACATCTCATTCTGGGTGTTGGGAAGAACCTATCTATAGGAACAAACCTAAAAGAGGGATTGGGATGTAACTTAGTAGAAGAGGATTTACCTAGCATGTAGGAGGGTCTGGATTCTGTTCCCACCACCAAATAAATGACTAAATGAGAGAGAGAAAAGAGAGAGAGAGAGAGAGAGAGAGAGAGAGAGAGAGAGAGAGAGAGAGAGATTCAAAATGACAGGTCCCCAGGCTCTGCTGACCAGGGGAGACAATGGGAAGCACTTGTATTGGGTGTGGTTTGTGACATTTGTATAGTGTGGTAGTCAGAGGGAACCATGACTGCTTGTACATGGTGGTAGGGAAGTTTCTGGAAGAACTGGTTGGGATGAGGAAGAGAGTCATCATGGCAGCACATTCTTGATGGTCCTCACTACTGGTTCGCTAGCTAAGTGAGCACCTCATGATTCCAACCCTGCGGCCCTGCCCATGACCTACTTCCTGGGGCCTGTCTGTCCACCCTCCCTGGGTTCTGACTCAGGAGTGCCACAAAAAGAGACTGAGGAACACGGTTCAAGGGGCCCCAGGGGGACTGGGATTCCCCGGAATGGGGACCAGAGCAATAGGGCAAGTCTTCCCCCTCCTTCCTTTATCCAATGTAAAGAATCAGGGTATAGTCTACGGCACTGAGGAAGGTGTGCACTTTTCTCCAACCTGAAGAGAAAAGTGCCCAATTCATGGAAACCATCAATACAAAATTCTGCTTTTCATTTCAGGTTTGGATAATGTAAATTGCTTTTCAGTATCCCGAGTTGGGTCATGGTGTTTCTCAGTGCTCAAAATCAAAGTATCTCAGCATTCCCACAGATCAATTAAAAGGCTAAATGATGCACCTGTCCAAGTTTTGCTTCTCCATTATAATTCCAACCACTCATTTTCTACTTTGGATGTGGGGAACTCATTCCATTCACAACCCCCATAGAAATAAAGTGCTGTTATGACAATGAGTGACGTTTCATACCTTTAAACTAATTTTGATTTTAAAAGCATTTCAGGTGCCGTAGAACCAGCTACTCAACATGTCTCCACTGTGGCTGCTCCTGGGCCTCCTGGCCTTGACTGGTGAGTGTGTTTCATTTTTCCCGAATAACTTGGAAATGGGCAGAAAAAAAGCACAGAAAGACAATGCTACATCTTCCATTTATGTAACTACAGGGAAAGCATTATTTTTCTCCTAAGATTTCTGATAAATCCTGGAGTTAGGAGTAACTACTGAGAAGCAGCCTGCCCCAAGAGTCCCATGAAAGGATGGGGGTTCCCTCTAATTCATGTGCACTTGCAACAACGTTGCTTGAAACCAGGCTTTAAATATTCATCATTGTAACTGCTCATTGCTGCTATAAAACCTCTTAAACCGCGTTAGTTACTTTACTCATTGTTGGGACAAAAGCAATCCGAGGAAAAAAGGGCTAAATTTGGATTGCTGTTTGAGATTATAGTCCATCATGGTGGGGAAGTCATGGCAGGGGGAGCCTTGAGGTGGTTGGTCACATAACATCTATCATCAGGGATTGGCGAGAGATGGATGCCAGTACTAAGTTCATTTTCTCCTTTTTATTCAGTCCAGGACAGCAGTCCATGAAAGGGTACCACCCACATTTAGGATAGGTCTTCCCGGCTCGATTACTCTAGAGAATCCCTCACAGACCTATGAGGGATTTGCGTCCATGGTGACTGTGAATCTCCATCAACATGACAATAAAGATCAATCATCAAACACCATAACACTGAATTTGTTTAGAGACAATCATGAAATCAGAAATGCACTGGCTGAGACATTAATAAGGACACCTGCTTAATTTTTTACTATGAATATATTCACAAATCACCAGATCTTTCCACAAATAACATTTCTCTCAGATTAACTTATCCACATCTATGGAGTAGAAGCATCTACTCCAAAACACTAGTATTTTCAGATGTCAGTGCCGTGAAGCTGTTATAAAAACAGAACCTGGTGATGGAGAGGTGACTCAGCAGTTAAAAGCACGTATTGCTCTTGCAGAGGACCTGGGTTTAGCACCCACCCGGCAGCTCACAAACACCTGTAGCTCCAGTTCCAGGGGCTCTGATCCCTCTTCTGGCTTCCTCAGGCTCCTTTTTGAATGTGGTACACATAAACTCCTGCACATACACATATATAAAAAAAAAACATAGAATCTTAAAATGCATTTATGTAAACATGCAGGACTCATATGATGACATGCCATAGATAGAATTCCCAAGAACTGACAGTTATTGAGTGAATAATTTAACTTACTTTACTCAAAGAATAAAATCTACTCTGCAAGTACTGTCTCGAGCCTAGAGACATGACACACTGGTAAACGTGCTTGCCAGGCAAGTATGAGGGTCTGAGTTTGATCTTCACCTATGTGAAAATCAAGGCATAGTGGCTTGGATTACACTGGGAGGCCAAGACAAGAGGGATCCTGGACTTGGCTGCTCATTACACACTTGTAATCCCAGTGCTTGGGAGGTTGGGGCAGGAGAACCAGGAGTTCAAGACAATCCTTGCCTACACGGTGGCTAATCTGGGCTGCATGAAGCCCGTTTCGAAAAACATTAGTTAATTAGTCGAGTAATTAATGAAAGCAATGCCTCACATTCAGTGATGACGAGAATACCACAGATCTCTTGGGAGACAGACATAAGACAGAAAAGAAAGATGCATATAGAGACCTCATATAGAGACCGGATCCCATGACTCGTCTGCACACAGTCTCTTTGCAACCTTTGCCCCTTGCCCAGAATGCTCCGGGAGAAGCTGAAGCCAATCCCAGTCCCTGTTTATAGACCATACCTTCACTTGGGGTCTGAGTGGAGACACCAGGAAGACTCTAGCCTTAAAATACATGCTTTAAAATACATGTTTTAATACATGCAGACATGAATACCTCACCATACAGTGAGCTATGAGACAGCCCTTGAGCTTTTCAGAGAAGGAACTGCTCCAGCGAGCGGTTCCTTGTGTCTGCAGGAAAGGAGGTGAGAACTGAAAATCAAAGCTGTGTTGTGATACCACCACCTAAATTTCAAAAGAGGTTAAAGTGTAGAGTGGTGGTCTAGCTCTCACTGATTTTATTCAGAGTTGTTTTTAATGATGTAATTCCTTCACAGCCTTCTAGCTCAGTCCCCCAGGCTGAACCTTTCTCAATCTGCAGGCTCCTCTGAAAGCAGCAGTTGGGGATGCTATGGAAACATCCGAACCCTGAACACCCCAGGAGCGTCTTGCGTGATTGGAAGACGGCATGGCCTGCCTTACTGCGGTAGTTAACAATCTCTGTGTCTACAATTTCCTCTTGACTCCTGCTGTTTCTCATGGTCCTACACTAAGGCATGGAAGGAAAGAGCACTCATCATGGAGTTCAAAGCCTTTGTGAGAGCTCTGGCTCTGCTTCTTAAACAAGTCACGTAGTTTTTCAAGTCCCTCCTGGAGTTAGATATCCACCTTTACAGAGTTTTTGCAAACTCTCTATCATGGGGTGAGAGTGCTTCTTGAACTGTAGAAGAAACTAGAACCAAGGCTATCCCATGTAAATCGTTATCACTTTCTTATTATGTGATTTATTGGCACCACATAAGAGTAGAAAGTTGGGCAGTTGTGAGAAAAATTGTCCAGGGGTCTTACCAAAAACTTACTGAAGGGTTAGGGGACTTTCTCCTTCACACAGTGACCTGTTGCAGTGGCATGATGCAGTTTATTGAGAAACCTTCTCTGGGTTCCTTAGGATTGTACCAGTAGTGCCTACAGAATTGTCATGGAAGGGACCGAGCTTAGCTCACAGCCACTAGTGGCCACAGAGATCTCTAACATCAGGAGATGCATGGGGTGTTGACTCTGCTTCACAGAAAAGGTCTTAAAATATGAGGTCAGGAAATGACTACTAGGGGTTTAAATTTGGGATTTTCAGTCACAGGCCTAAGTCCAAACCTAAATCACCCTCAGCCACATACTTCCTTTTGTGTTTGCTCTAGGAGTCCGTGCCTCTGAAAGGCTGGCTGAAATAGACAGGCCATATCTTCTGAGATATCAACCCACGATGAGAATTGTTGGCCGGAAATACTGTATGGATCCTGCAGTGATCGCTGGTGTCTTGTCAAGGGAGTCTCAGGGTGGCAATTTTGTGGTCGACATGGGCAACATGGGTAATGGAATCGGGGTGATACAGGTAATGCTCCATCAGTCAAGGTAATTTGATGTTGGGGAAATGGCTTAGCAGGCAAAGTACTACCTGGAAAAGCGTGAAAACCTAGGTTCAGATCTCCAACACCCATTTGGAAAGCCAGCCATGGTGCCTGTAATCTCAATGCTGTGTTCTCAAAGTGGAGGCAGGTGGATTCCTGGAGTTCGCTAGCCAGCCAGATGAATCAGTGAGCTCCACATTCAGTAAGAGATTGAAGAAGATATTCAATGTTGATCTCTGGCCTCCACAGGCATGCTTACACACATGCACATCCCCCCACATGCACTCCATGTGAATATGCGCATGCGTACACACACATGCATACACATACACATACATGTACATACATACACACACATGCACACAGAGAGAAAGAGACAGAGACAGACAGACAGACAGACAGACAGAGAATGTGGCCCTTCTGCTTTGTGACACAGCTTCAAGGGAACATGATTATGGTTTCACTGCAGATAGCACAGTGAGCCGGGCGGTGGTGGTGCATGCCTTTAATCCCAGCACTCAGGAGGCAGAGGCAGGCGAATCTCTGTGAGTTCGAGGCCAGCCTGGTCTACAGAGCAAGATCCAGGAAAGGCGCAAAGCTACACAGAGAAACCCTGTCTCGAAAAACAAAAACAAAAACAGATGGCACAGTGGTGCAGAATAGTGAGTGAACCGTACCGCCTGGGTTTTGTGAGGGCCGCAGCAATTCTGGTACCATTTCCGCTGCACTTGGAGGCACAGTTTCTCTTCAGAGTGAATATTGCTTTATTGCCAGGACCCATCCCCCAGGACACACCACCCGAGATACACTACTCTGGGGTTCCCCACGGGGCACTAGTTCATGAGAAAGACCACAAATTGCATCTTTGTGCTGTAGTCTTTGTGTGACCTTGAATGGGTCGTTTTACTTCACTGGGCCTGTTGCCCTACCTGTAGAATTCCATTTGCTCTTGGCAGTGCTGGGGAGTTAAACTTTGTGTGCTCTAAGCAGGTGCTCTACTGCCGATCTCTACTCCAGCTCCTAAATGCCGTTCCAATTGAATTATAAAGAGTCAATGGAATAATGTAAAAAAAAAAAAAACAAAAGTAGCTATGTCTGGTAGGTTCTTAAAAATATTACATTCTCCCTTCCTTGTCTTCTCTCTATATAACTCTTAGTTCTGAGGGTTGAGTTTTATTCTTACACTGATTGGACCCAATATCACTCATCAGAGTTTTTTTGGGGGGGCTGAGCCACTGTTGGGGGCCAGGGTAAAAATGAGAATGGAGCTTCCTGTTGCTTCTCTGTTGAGAAACCTGTGTGCAGTGTGTCATTTTCAAGCTTTTAGGATAATTCACTCCTTAATGATCTTGGAATTGGCTTCTCTTGACTACTTGTAATAAACTTCAATTAAAAAGTACCTTCTGGCCGGGTGGTGGTGGCGCACGCCTTTAATCCCAGCACTCGGGAGGCAGAGGCAGGCGAATCTTTGTGAGTTCGAGGCCAGCCTGGTCTACAGAGCGAGATCCAGGAAAGGCGCAAAGCTACACAGAGAAACCCTGTCTCGAAAAACCAAAAAAAAAAAAAAAAAAAAAAAAAGTACCTTCTGGCCGGGCAGTGGTGGTGCACGCCTTTAATCCCAGCACTTAGGAGGCAGAGATAGGTGAATCTCTGTGAGTTTGAGACCAGCCTGGTCTACAGAGTGAGTTCTAGGACAGGCACCAAAACCACACAGAGAAACCCTGTCCAGGAAAAAAAAAATTCCCTCTGATACCTTATCTCATTTTGACTTATGGATATATTCAGTAATCTGATGAGATGGAGCAGTGAGCCACCAATGAGGAAACAGGACCCACAGAGGAGTCCCTGTTATCAGTTACTCTGGCAAAGAGAGCACTTGGCCCGAGGACGCCTTGTGCCGTTAGAAATGGTGACATCTACTTTCCCGTTTTCTCTTTTATAAAATCTGTTCCTTGGGGGAAAGATCGGTCCATCTCCTTTGGGATGAAATAAGAAGTCTCTAAATTCAGTCCTTTCTCCTCGAGCCGATGAGATCTCTGTGAAAATGGTGACCTATGGCATCCAAGAAGGTTTCAAGTCACCTCCAGACATTCTGATCACCTGCAAGGGGGCCTGAAGCACAGGCAGGATCCCTTCCTGCTTCGTTTGGAGTTGAGAGTTGCGGCATGGAGGAAGGGCATTGCACTGGATTCTGCATGCATCAACCGTCTTGGCCTCTGACTTGACCTGCTACAGTGGGGCAACGGAGAAATGACTACTTGCCCCTCCTCAGCCTAAACCCTGTAGTTTATTTTTGTCCATGGTGGTGACACCATTTTGCATTCCCGTCAACAGTGCACAGGATTCCAACTTTTCCATGTCCTTGACAACATTGGCCTTAAGTGTTTTGGACAGTAATTCTTAAGTCCTAGATGCATGTAGCGTCTCCACTTAACCTCCAGGGAGATGGGGAGTGGAAGAAGAACAGAAGGGAGAGGAGAGAGTAGCTCCTTCGGCTGAGGATGCTCACCAGGTTTTCCTCTGCCTCCCTCTCTCTAGGACTCAAGCTTCTACCCTCCCACATCTTGGAAGAGTGATTCCTGGGTTTCCCAGAAAACTGAGATCCTGACATCTAAAATCAAAGAAGTCCAGGCAAGGTTTCCTAGCTGGACTCCCGACCAGTACCTGAGAGGTATGTGTTCCACTGTTGGCCAGTTGTTTCACGGCCTGGAATTAAGAGATAAATGTTTATCTCTTAATAAAAACCAGACTTCTCAGGCCACAGCTGTCTTGAGCTGGGAGAGGGAATCTGAACTTAATGTTGAGTGCCCCCAAGCTGGGTGAGGACTAACCTGTCACATGACTTCCAGGTGGACTCTGTGCCTACAGTAAGGGTCCTACCTTTGTCCGAAGCAACCAGGATCTAAACTGTGACTTCTGCAATGATGTCCTTGCGCGAGCCAAATACTTCAAGAACCACGGCTTCTAGCACCTCAGATGAATCTCAGGTTCCGCTGCCGTACAGGAGGCTCTCCTATTCCACCAATTTGGCTAGCAGGTGGAGACTGCAACCTCGAATCTGAGTTAGATTTGAAAGCTGTCAAAATATGACAAATCATATTAAAGGAAAAGTCGTTACCTGCATTATAGACTGTGTCTTTCTAAAACATTTCCCCAGATGTGAGCTCTAATACGTATATCTGTGAGATGAGTCCTATGTCTCAAGGAATCCAATGGCCAAGTTCAGCAAATAAAGCTCAGGAAACCTAGATTTCATGTCAATTACACTTAAGCATTGATTTTTGGGCAGTGTTGGGACTTGAACACAGAGCTTCACGTGTATTGAGCACGTGCTCTACCACCTAGCTATCTCTACTTCAGCCTCAATGATAAATAGTAATTTTTAACTTTTAAAGATTTTTTTGTTGTTTTTTTGAGACAGGGCTTCCCTGTGTAGCCTTGGCTGTCCTGGAACTCAGTCTGAAGACCAGGCTGGCCTCAAACTCAGAGATCTGCCTGCCTCTGCCTCCCGAGGGCTGGGATTAAAGGAGTGCACCACCACCACCCAGCAAGATTTTTATTTATTTTTACTTTAAGTGTGTGGCTGTTTTGCTTATGTGTACATCTGTGAACCACATACATGCAATGCCTGAAGAGAGCATCGACTCTTCTGGAACTAGAGCTAGAGGTGGTTGTGAGTCACCTTGTCAGTGCTGGGAATTGAACCTGGGTCCTCTGGAAGAGGATCAGTTGCTCTTAACCACTGAGCCAACATCTTACCCCAATAAATGATACTTCTAGTATAAGTTTCGTACTATATTTGGAAGAAAGCAAGATGGCAATGACCCTTGGAGAGGTATGTGAGCTCCTTTTAAGCCTAACTAAGGGGAGTATCCAAGGAAGTTAGCTCATCTTAGATATGATTGCCTTATGTGAGTGGCAATCATGTTAGTAACTTTTAATTGGCTAGTGTTAGTTGGGGTTTTGTCAGGGATACAGTTATCCATTTTGGGGCAGGCCTGTACAAGTCCCAGGCTTTGTCCTTGAGTTGCCATGGAGGTTGGCTGCTCTAGCACATACTGACTGTGGAGGCTGGCTCAGTGGCCCAAACTTGGTGCAACCTATCCCCCTAGTCCCTGCTGTTAGGGACACCAGTGATTAATTGCCCTTTGTTTGTGGCTCTTCCCCAGAAACTGTCTGTCCAGTCTCAGGAAACTGAAATTGAGGCCTGATCTCTGAGAGAAGACTGGGCAGTCTGTTATGATGTCTGCTTAGTCCTCTCAGAGAGCAGCCACCATGAGGGATGGCTACGGGAGGCCAGAAGAGCCTCTCTAGGTTGTAGCCCTTGAAGAGTCTACCCTTACAAATCTGCTGAGCTAACTTTGTATAGCCTTTTAGGGATGGCAAGCGTGGGACCCAGGGAAGCTTGGCTACACTGCTGCCATGGCAGACTTAAACAAACCAGCCAGAGAGTAGGCCTTAGTTTCAGTTTACTGTAAGGCAACACCCAGTTCCAGGAAAAACTACAAACTGCCATCACCCAGGGATGAGCCAATCAGCATCCAGGGGGAAAATAACTAAAAATCCAACCTAAGAGGAAAGTACCTGACATTCCCAAATATTTCTGACCATTATAGCTAAGAACACCAGATGTTCCTTAGCCCAGCACACACCTATACCCTTTCACCAAGATATCCCTAGATAAATGTCAGCTAATCAGGGTCTTGAACCCTGGAAATCCCCTCACTCCAACCTCTGCTATGATAAAATCCCTACCCCAACTGGGCATGGAGCTCTCTGTTCTCATCACTGTGTCGGACAGATGAAGAGCCCAAGCTCGAGCTTGAATAAAGGCTCTTTGCTTCTGCATACGGATTCGGTCTTCATGGTGGTCTTTGAAGAGTCCCTGAGATCTGGGCATAACAGCAAGAAGTTCCACCTCACTCAGTTTACTTCAGCATAGTAATGTGACAAAGGAAGAAGAGCCAACTACAGACTGCTCCTTCTTCATTCTCTCAGAGAAAGCTTTAAGGAGGCATGACATGACCCAGGCTGTAGGATCTAGCCTAAAGGTATAGACCCATGTTCTAACATTGACTAGTCACATAGACTGGGTAAAATAGTTTGGGGAAAGTCACTTGCTAACAACTGTGTGCCAGCATCTTGACTCCAAAGCCATCTCACTGTCCTCAAGTGTTAGGCCTCAAACTCCGGACAAATGGCTAACTGAGGTGCCTGTTTAAAAATATCAAAGGTATGCCAGCTGCCAGGTTCTCAGCAATGCAAGTACCTGTTACAGAGTCACCCTGACTGGCATACTCCATTCCCTACCCTAAACCTCTCCAGCCCTCGAGCTTTGGCTATGTGCCCTCTTTGGTGCTTGTGGTGGTTTGAAAGAAAATGGCCCCCAAAGGGAGTGGCACTATTAAGAGGTGTGGCCTTTTTGGAGTAGGTGTGGTCTGGTAGAGGAAGTATGTCACTGTGGAGGCAGGCTTTGAGGTCTCATATATGTTCAAGCCACGCCCAGTGAAACAGTCCATTTCCTGTAGCCTGCAAGGTGTAGAATTCTCAGCTACTTCTTCAGCACCATGTCTGCCTGCATGCCACCATGTCCCACTTTGATGATAATGCATTGAACCTCTGAAACTGTAAGCCAGCTCCCACCCCCCACTTAACTGTTTTCCTTTGTAAGAGTTGCTGTGGTCATGGTGTCTCTTCACAGCAGTAGAAACATTAAGACAATGATCTTGGTCTCCTGGCCTCTTAGCCCCCCTCTCCTTCCCTCTCTCCTCTCTTGCACCCCATCCCCCAAGTCTGGTTCATGTTCAGTCTGCCAGCCATGTTCAGTCTGGACCTTCCAGAGGCCTCTGGCTGTGCTCTCCTTCATAGCTACAATAAACCTTCTCCTCAACCATACCTTGGAGCATCATGTCCTCATTTTTTTCATTCACTAAAATTCCCTCTACTTTACTTGCTGGACCACAAAATCTTCTTCTAACCAAAAGGATCTGAAACTCAGCTAAACTCTTCCCTTGGGCTTGGTCCTCAGCTAGTGGCACTATGGAGGTGTGATTGGATCATGAGAATACTAGCATCATAAACTGGTTAATGTATTGATGAATTCACAGTTGAATGGGCTTGGTAACTGGTGAAGGAAGTAGGTCACTGAAGGAGTGTCTCTGAAGAGTCTCAGTCTCTCTCTCCCCACCCTCCTCTCTGTCTGTCTGTCTCTCTTCTTTCCAGAGGCTTCCATTTTTTTTTTCCATCATAATGTTTCAGTTTTGCCATAGGTTGAAAAACAATGAAACTAACCAACCTTTATGGGTCTCCTTCTTCCCTGGGGATCATTGGTCACTGGTCCACAAGGGCGGAGGGAGCATAAGCAGCCAGCAGAGTTCAGACAGCTGTGAGTACGATGGAAATAGCCTTCCAAAAGTCACCTATGGTGAGACAGCTCAGCTTTATTCCAGAGTAAGGGGAATATATAGGATGGGGACAGCACCTGGGGCATCACCTAATTTGCATTTGGCAGCTTGGTCCTACCATACAGCTGGAACACAATACCTAATTATCATAGGGATGGTGGGGATGGGGAGGGAGCATTTGCAGGGACCAGTGTCAAAGGTCATACTTAAGATAGGTCAGGCATCCAAGCTCAGGGACAGTTTCCGAATAAAGTCAGGCATCCAGGCCAAGAGACACTACCCAAATTAGGTAACGAGGGAATCCTGCTGCTAAAGGAGTCCTTCATATTCACCGAGCTCAGAGAACTATCTGGACATGGTGAACTGCAACCTTAAATGCAGGGTGCTCCAACAAACCTTAGCCCAAACTCTCTGAAACCATAAATCAAAGACAAAGCTTTCCTCCATTGTGTCATTGGTCAGGTATTTTTATCAGAGACAAAAACCAATTAGCACAGAGGCACCCCAGTCATCTGTAGCCAGGCTATACGGAAGAGTCCCTCAAGGACACGGACCATGTCCTATGTTGTTAAATTAGCAAATTCAAGTGTTTGGATTTGTAACAGTAATGCCCCCCATGTGCCAACTTAATATCAATGCTTCATCATTGTTCCATAACAATCATCATCATGCCAAGCATGCTTGTTCTGCCCCTAAATTTTTTTTGAAGCAATTCCTAAATGTTAAGTAATACATGAAGTACAAGAGCCTCTGCTCCCTCTGTTTAATTGCATTCAGCAGCCCAGGCAAAAGAAAAGAAGTCCAACCATACTGGCACATAAGGCACAAACACAGGGCTTGCACATAGTGAGTATGAAGTGCTCTTTTTCTGTTAGCAGCCTCATGGTACCCCTTATGCTCTCTGGGGCCCTTGATACCCACCAACCCCGGCCTTCCTTCCTTGTCTCCCCACTCTCTGCTCAAAGTCCTACGCCCAAAGCTTGAATCCAGCTAAGAGATTCCCACCAAGAACACAACAGAGGAAACCAAATGAATGAGCTTTCCCCTTTGGAGATGTACATTGAACTATTATAAGGAAAACAGAATGTGAAGCTCTAGCCACAAGCCTGCAGGAGAAACATTAAGGTGAATAAAGTTCTCCTGGAGTCTTGCTATGATTCCCTCCATGGATGTGTGTGCTCAGTAATGGACCTGGAATGTGTACATGGAGGTGGCATTTCTCACCCAAGGAAAGCATGCCAGAGACGCCACGTTGCTGAAGTGGGAGCACTGGGGAGGGCACAATGGAGTCAAAGACTATGTGAAAATACGGTATTGATTATATGGTGATCAGTAAATGCTATTGCACATCTTTTGTCTGCCAGCCATTCTCTTAGGAAGGGTGAAACAAGGGCAAAGGGCACTGTGCTTCCTTGCTCTTTGCAGCTCACTGATGGCCAAGGATGTTGAACATTTTTTCAAGTGTTTATTGACCATTATTTGTGCTTCTTTCTTTGAGAACTGCCTCTTCCTTTCATTAACCCATTTATCAACTGAATGATTTGGGAGCTTTGTGTTTAACTTTTGCATTTCTTAAAATACATTTTTTTTATTGTTGTTTGAGTCTTAGATGGTCTTTTAATAAAAATAAAAAAAAAAACCAGAGCCAGATATCAGGGTGAAAGCTAAAAGATCAGAGAAACAGAACAGCCAGCCACTAGCTCTTACCTCTATGAAATCCTCAGCCTCAAGAGAGCGAGTTCCTGTTTCCTCACGCATTATATACATTTCTCTGCCTTGCCATATTACTTCCTGGGATTAAAGTCATATGTGCTTCCCAAGCAAAGGCATGAGATCTCAAGTGCTGGGATTAAAGGGGTGTACCACCACTACCTGACCTGTATGTCAAATCTTATGGCTGGCTCTGTCCTCTGATCCTCAAGCAAGTTTATTAGGGTACACAATAAATTACTATATCTTATAAGCATTAATACTGTGATGCATAGTTGTCAAGTGTTTTCTCTCATTCTGTCTTCTGTCCCTTCACGGCTGATAGATTATTTTGCTGTGCAGAAGCTTTTCTGTTTCCTGTCATACCATCTGGCAGGTCTTTTTTTTAAAAAAAGAAAAATAGAGGCTTATTTATTTTAATTTTTTCTTTACATTTGTTTATATATTTGTGTGAGATAGGGCATGTTTGAGAGCCAAAGATACGTTTTAAGTTTTAATTACTGTTCCTAAGAAATCAAAACTAAACTAAAATGCCTCTGACCTGCAAGCCCCTTGCCCAAGGAGAGATACTTTCTGAAATGCTGGAAGCTATTGTTTATGGGAGAGAACAAGCCACATGTTTTCACTCCCCTAACCAAGTTGGTTTGACTCAGCTGCACCGGATGTGCTTGATCACCTGTGGGCAGCAGGAGTGGGGTGTGGGGGGGGGGGGGTGGGGGAGTGATAACATGGACAGGAAGTAAGTCAGGATGTACATTTGCCCCTGACTGGATATAGGTGGGAGGTCTGCAGGCAGGGAATAAGTCAGGATATATGCTAGCCCCTGATTGGACCTGATGGTAAATAAGGCGGCCTTATGGGTTTGACTTTATAAGCCTCTGCAAAATGTGACTCATCACCATTTCCTGGGAACTCTGGAATGGTTCTGGCCAGAGCCCATCATCCTGGCCAGTATTTAATTAAACCTTGCTTCAAATTTGACTCAAAAATTGGGGAACTGGTCTTTCTCTTGTGATTCTCAGGTTTGACCCATGCACCTGCCATCGTGTGTGTGTGTGCGTGTGTGTGCGTGTGTGTATGTGTGTGTGCATGTGTGTATGTGTGTGTATGTGTATGTGTGTGTGTGTGTATGTCTGTGTGGGGTGTGTGTGTGTGTGTATGTATGTGTGTGTGTGCATATGTGTGTATGTGTGTGTGCGTGTGTGTATGTGTGTGTATGTGTATTGTGTGTGTATATATGTGTGTGTGTATGTCTGTGTGGGGTGTGTGTGTGTGTGTGTGTGTGTGTGTGTGTGTGTGTAGGTCTCATAAGACACCCTACAAGAGTCAGTTCTCTCCTTCTACCAGGTGGCCCTAGATTGTGATTTAGTTTAGAGAGGGTTCCAGGGACTGTTGAGAACATGAGGACTGTATCTGTTAGATGGAATATTCCATAGACACCTGTCATCTCATCTATAGTGTAGTGTCTTTGTTGATGTCTTGTCTGATGAGCTATCTAAGGATGAACAAAGAATATTGAATTCAGGGCTTGATTGACCTTTTGTGTCTATTTGCAGTGGTGTTTTATGAGCTCCAACATTTAGTGTTTATATATATATAATTGTTACATAATCTTGAATTGTTCATTCTATTGATATTATTTTCTTTATCTCTTCCTTTTTTAAAAATCTTTTTTATTAAGAAATAAATTTTTTATTTATTTTTTATACATTTTTTATACATTTTACATACTAATCACAGATCCCCCTCTCATCCCACCCCCCATCCAATCTTTCAGAAAAGGTAAGGCCTCTCATACGGAGTGAGCAAAGCCTGGTACACTCAGCTGAGGCAGGTCCAAGCCCTTCCCCCTGCATCAAGGCTGTGCAAGGTGTCCCACCATAGGTAATGGGGTCCAAAAAGCCAGCTTGTGCACCAGGAATAGATCCTGATTCCATTGCCAAGGGACCCTTAAACAGACCAAGCTACACAACAAACCTGAGAGTCCAGTCCCGTGCAGGCTCCACAGCTGTCAGTCTAAAGTTCATGAGTTCCCACTAGCTTGGTTCGGTTGTCTCTGCAGATTTTCCCATCGAGATCTTGACCCCCCCATGCTCATAGAGTCCCTCCTCCCTCTCTTGGACTGGACTCCTGGAGCTCAGCCTGCTGCTTGGCTGTGGGTCTCTGCATCTGCTTCAATCAGCTACCGCTCTTTCTCTCTTCTAACTGGCTTTGGTTCGAAATCTACTTCATCTGATATCAGAAAGGCTAGCCCCATTTCCTCCAGCTTCAATTTGCTTGATAAACAGAATTCCTTTGATTCTCACTCTGTGGGTGTCTTTGCCAGTGGAATGTGGCTCTTGGATATTTGTATCTTGTTCTTTCAGTCTAGTCCAGTCAGCTAGCCTGCTCAGGCCATTTACACTTAAAATTATTATTGAGAGAGTCGCTAACTCCTGTCATTTCGCTGGCTGTTCTTCTGGTTGCTTAAACTACTGTGTGTTCTCTGCCTTGCCCGTTGTCAGGATTACTGGTTGGCTGGTTTACTGTGCTGGCTGTGACAGAGTCCTTATTTGTTTTACTGTGTTCATCTTTTCCTTCTAATAAAATATATTCCGTCTAACCAGGCGGTGGTGGCGCACGCCTTTGATCCCAGCACTCAGGAGGCAGAGGCAAGTGGATCTCTGTGAGTTCGAGGCTACCCTAATCTACAGAGTGAGTTCCAGGACAGGCTCCAGAGCTACACAGAGAAATCCTGTCTCAAAAAACTGTACACACACACAGACACAGACACACACACACACACACACACACACACACACACACACACACACACACATATGTTTTTTCTCTCCTGTCCCTCATGATTGAGACTTTCTCCCTCCTCCATGTATAATACTCCCTCAAGTATCTTCTGTAGGGATGACTTTAGTGGTCCTAGACTGCCTTAGCTTGAAATTGTCTTGAAATGTATTTATTTCTGCATCAATTTTAAAAGATATTATTTGTTGGGTACAGCAACATTGGTGAGCAGTTACTTACTTTCAAGACTTGGAATACATTGTTCCATGCTTTCCTGGATTTCTGGGCTGCTGACAAGAGATCCGATGTTATCCTGATATACTTGCCTTTCCCGATGGATTGGTGTTTTCCCCTTGCAGCTTTTAATATTGATTTCTTGCTTTGGATATTTTCATAAGTGTCATTGAGATGCTTTTCTTTGATTATGTCTACTAGGAACTCTAAATGCCTCTATGTTTGGCTGTCTACTTCCTTCTCTAGAGTTGGAGAATTTCTTCCTATGTTATTGGTTGGGTTCACAGTGCTTTCAGTTTTAAACTCAGCTCTCTCATCTGTCCTGTGGGTTCTTAAATTTGTTGTCTTTATTATTTTCTAGACTTCTTGAAAGTTGTGCTCATTTATTGTTTTTTGTTTATTGATGTAATACTTCCTGATTTCACCCTTCACCCTGCTGCTCTTTCTTCTGCTTTGTTCATCTATTGGTGAGAGTTTCCATTGCGTTTTTATATTCATTGAGTCTTTCATGTCCACCATTTATATATTTTCCAATATGTCAGTTTCTTTGAGTTTCTCTTCCATACAGCTGACTCTGTCATCTGTATGGATGATTTCCTGACCCAATTTTCTAATTTAATTTTCTCTTCTGTTTTGCTGACTTTCCTCCTCAAGTCCTGGGTCAATTAGTTTGCTTTATTCATGTGCCTTTTTGTGGATCTCTGAGGTTGTTGATTACCTTTATAACTAAGCATTTAAAATCATTGTCTGGCCCAAATCTGTATCTATAATAAATGTAGAAATTGTAAGCTAATGAGATAAAGAGGGTAAGCAGGGAGAACAGAAGAGAAGAAAGACTAATTAAGAGGAATTGAAGAAGAGAATTGGAGAAGAATGTTATGATGGGAAAAGAAAAGAACGAGATATTATAAAAATTACAATAAAGCAAAAAAAGAGATTTCCCGACAATGAGAACATGCAGAACCAAAATTGATACATTTTAGAAAGGAATTAAAAGGCTATAGAGATGGGTTGGCAGTTAAGGACACTTGCTGTTCTTGCAAGAACTGCAGTTTGTATCCGAGCATCCACACTGGGGGACTCACAATCACCTGTAACTGCAGCTCCAAGGGATCTGATGCCCTCTCCAGGCTTCTGTGGGCACCTGTATGTGAGTGCATGTACACACGCACACACACACACACACACACACACACACACACACACACACACACACAAGATAAATAAATAAATAAATATTTTAAAGGTATAAAATAGCAGCAAAAATATTATTTTAGAAAAACAGAAAATTAAAATCAAAATATTAGACAGGTTGAAGCTACCCACAGGCCAGCCTGGGTCCTCAAGGCCCGGGGTGGCTGAAGACATTTCTGCCTAGCACCCGGCCGTGGCAGGGAGGAGGGTGCCATTATGAAGAACACATATATGGTGGAGAAATGGGAGAGAAGGAGAAGCGGAAAGATTCATGTGCTGTGGAAAGAGGTAGAACAGATGAAGGGAGAGTGGTGAGGGGCAGGGCGATACAGGTAGCTGCTTGCCTCCTGCTCCGTCCCCTCCCCCACTGCCTGGGCTGCTGCAAGGATGCCCTGGGTCTAGTTGCATCTGTGACCCTGCCGCCACTGGGGCCATGATGACATCCAGGGCCTGAGCAGCGGTCAAGGGCCTTGCCTGGGTTCATGGCCCTGCACCAGCAGCCAGAGTCTGTGTTGATGTCCATGGCTTCAGTTACCACTGAAGTCTGTGTGGATGCCTGGGGTCAGGTCAGCCACCTGAGGTGTCTGAGGGTCATGCTGCAGCCGGGACCATACAGATCTGAGTGGCCTGTACTGCCACCTGGTGCTATGGTGGTGTCTGGGCCAGAGCTGTAGCTGAGGACCATGTCTGGGTCCGTGGCTTCACTGCAGCCAGGGTCTGTGTTGATGTCCATGGCTCCTGTTACCACTGAAGGCCATGCAGATGCCTGGGGGCTGGGCTGTCACCTGGGGCCATGGTGATATCTAGGCCTGGCTCTGCAGAGGACCATGTCTGGGTCCATGGTCCTACTACAGCCAAGGTCTGTGTAAAAGTCCCAGACTTGTGTTGCCACCAAAGGCCACATGGATCCCCAGAGTTTGGGCCTCAACCTGTGGCCTTGTTGGTCTCCGAAGGCTATGTTGCCACTGGAGCCACGCTGATCTGAGTGGTCTGGGCTGCCACTCGGGGCCATGGTGTAGTCCAGGCCTGAGCTGCTGCCTAGGGCCATGTCTGTGTTCATATCTCTACAGCAGCCAGAGTCGGAGTTGATGTCGATGGCTCCTGTTACCACCAAGGGCCGTGCAGATGCCTGGGGTCTGGTCAAGCACCTGAGACCACGTTGGTGTCTGAGGGCCATGCTGCTGCCAGGGCCATGCTGATCTGGGTGACGTGAGCTGCCACAGGGGCCAGGGTGTCATCCGGGCCCAAGCTGCTGCCAAGGGCCATGTCTGGGTCCCTGGTCCTGCTGCAGCTGGAGTCTGTGTTGATGTCTATGGCCCATGTTACCACAGGGGGCCATGAGAACCATGCATGATGAAATCCGAGGGCCAGACTGAGCCGGCCCTGCTCTTCGATTGGCCCTGGGAAAGCTGGCCATGCCCCTCACTGGACACTGCAACAAGAGAGCTGGCCTCAACCGAATCGGGAGAGTGGGCCCCAGTGACCCAGTCACAGGAGAGCTTGCCCTGATGAGATGGGCGTAGGTAGGAGAGCTGACTCTGCCCTTCGCCTGAAGAGGTCGGCCCCAGAGGCCAGGTCTGACCAGCTCAGCTACCACCCAGATCCACATCCTGGGTTTGGGGTTGGCCACCCTAACATCTACCCCATCCATGACCTACTGGAGCATGTGAGGGAACTGGTCCTGCAGAATGATCATGAGGAATGATAGCCGCAGGATCCCCATGACTCAGGGACCAGAGAGGAGTTTCAGAGGGTCCAGTGATGATGGTGTACAAGAAACCAGAGGCCTTGAACCAGACCAGTGACTCACTGCAATGAACATTTGCTAGTAAAACTAACTGGACGAAAGGGTCTACTTCGTGACACACCGCACAGCTCCCAGTGCCACTAAGATGAATGAAGAGGTGTTGGAGAGGTGGAGGAGGAGGAGGAGTAAAGTGGGGTTTTTGTTGTTAGTTTGGTTGGGGTTTAATTTTTTTTTCTTTTGGGTGGGGGTGCTGTAAGGGTGAAGGGCAGATATGGAGGGACTGGGAAATGAGCGGAATTGGAGTGCATGATGTGAAATTCCCGAAGAATCAATAAAGAAATTATGTTTTAAAAAGATCAATATATTACTTAAAGTAGAAAAAAAGGGGGGTGGGGGTCAGGAAACAGTGCAAGGGAAAAAAAAAAAGGAAAAGGAAAACAAATGATTGCCCAGTAAGGAAATAAATGTGTGGACACACTAGTCAAATACAGAAAGGGGAATAAAAGAGAAAAACACAAAACTTAAATATATATATATAATAAAATATGTCACTGAAAAGAAAATTCACGCGAGGGGTGAAAGCAAGCAGAAAGATGACAGCGTGTTGGACCGGCTTCTTCTCGGGTCCTTGTAAGCCAGAGACAGGCCAGGCATAAGTGGGGCGAGGGGTGGGGGGGCGAACTTGTGAGCGCTGGTCTTCCCTGTGATTTGTGCTGGGCCTGGGCCTGTTTTGGACATCTGATGGCTGCTGGAGCTCTTAGTTTTATTAGTTGTTCTTTGTGTGCGGGGACCTCTGCTGGGCACACATAGCTCTGCAGTGTTTCAAACCCTGGGTGTGACTCACCTGTTGGAGCGGAGGGACTAATGACAAGAGGCTGCAGAAATTGACTTCAGCCTCAGGGCTAGCAAACTCTCAGGCCACAGAGGGTGGGTCTGTCTTTCCTTATACACATCGTGGCCTGGACCCAGCTCCTGCCACTGTGTTTTTCCAGCGTTTTAGCCTCGGTCCCTCCTCTCCACGGTTGCTTCCAAGGACAATCTCCCACCCTGGAGTAGAATTGGTTGAACTCAGGCTCCATTTATAATAATTCTTATTTTTATAACCTACCAGGTTCCTACCACATGTCAGGTGCATCACTCAGCTCTTCACGTAGATTATATCGTTTAATCCTCATTGTGCAGGTGGAAGAATTCAAATAGAGAGGTGCAATTACTTCCAAAGGTCATATTAGAAACCACCTGAAGAATTATGGGTTAATTTAAGTGTAAGAGATAGTTAGTAATAAGCCTGAGCTACCGACCGAATATTTATAATTAATATAAGCCTCTGAGTTATTATTTGGAAACAGCTGCAGGATGGGTGAGACAGAGAAAAGCCTCCAGTTCCAATAGTGTGTTCTTTCTAACTCTCTCACTCTTGAAATCTAACTGGTCTCAAACCCAGGTGCACTAAAAAAAGTCAGAATGCCTTTGCCATAATATTTTCAAAAATAAACCAAGTGGAAGAAGGAATGTGTTCTCTGTTTTCATCAGACTCCCACCTGCCTCTGTCTCCATTCTCACATAATTTTAAAAGCTAATTCTGTAATGTACTCACACATGATATTCAAAGCGTATTCAACCCAGCTAAAAGCACACTTAATGAGACAGCTAAGGATGTCTGATGTGACTTCACCAAACACAACTGACCTCATGAACTGAGAGAGAGGCGGTTTCTAATATGACCTTTGGAAGTAATTGCACCTCTCTATTTGAATTCTTCCACCTGCACAATGAGGATTAAACAACAAAATCTACGTGAAGAGCTGAGTGATGCACCTGACATGTGGTAGGAACCTGGTAGGTTATAAAAATAAGAACTATTATAAAAGTTAAGCACACACTCTTTCCCCTTCTGGAGATGAAATGTTGACAAAGTTCATGTGTCAGAGAGATGCCCTGCCTGGGAACAATGGTTGGTCTCTTGGTGACATCAGTGTGATTCCCCAAGGGTTCACTCATTGATAATGATGCTGGAACTCCAGGATGTGTCCTTTACCCAGACAAAGTTTTCTTCACCTAAGTTGAATGCTGACCCATGAGCATCGTTACTGGGAAGAAAACACAAAGAAGGACTATGGCACAATTCTTCTTTCCCAGATATAGTAACAAAGAAAAAAGGGAATCAAGCTATGAAAACAGTGACAATCATTTCTGCTAGCACTCATTGATTTGATTTTCACATTGTCAGAAGAAATAAAAGCCCTAGGAATGTATGCATTTGTTGAGAAGACCTAGGGCAGACCCACCCGGCCCATGGGAAGCCTGTTTTTCAGGGATTTCCTTCCAGTTTTCTTCCAACGTTTGGATTCAGACCAGAAGCGGTGGTGTTCTCACAGAGAGTGTTGTGCCACTGATGGGCAGAAATTCTTTTATAGCACCTGAGGAAGAAGTTATTTGACCTTATTTTCTTGGAGCTTCTGTGGGCTCCTATCTGATGGGACAAACAGACATTTCATTGTCTTGGTAAATAGTAACTTTTTTTTTTTTTTTTTTTTTTGAGACAGGGTTTCTCTGTGTAGCTTTGGAGCCTGTCCTGGAACTCGTGCTGTAGACCAGGTTGGTCTCGAACTCACAGAGATCCTCCTGCCTCTGCCTCCCGAGTGCTGGGATTAAAGGCACACTCCACCACCGTCTGGCATGGAGTAAATTTTTTAACGTAAGTGTTTTTCTTGAGACTTGGCTATTTTTGTGTAAGGCACAATAGGTCATCAGGGGTTAGGGTCCAAATGTCTACGTAAAACATGAGTCGGTCTCCAAACGTTTGAGGCTGAAGAAAGTATAGGAATTTTGTTTTGACTTCTAGCATTTTTGTCTCTAAATTTCCTCAATCAGGTCAAATTGATTATAAGGGAGAAAAATCTGTCTTTGGAGCTACCTTGGGCTGAGAAGGCAGGAGCACCAGAGGACACTAATTGGCATTGTTGGTCTGTTATAGGTTGTAGAACCGTAAGACTTAAGCTTGAGGAGAGGAAGTGGCCAGTGTAAGAGGTCAAAAGGGCCAGACCATGACACAACATTTAGAGATAGGGGTTGGTGGTGATGGTCATGGTTGATATCTCTGAGTTAATTGCATCTGTAGCTGAAGGGCCAGCAATCCGAAAGATACCAATTACTCCAGAAGGTTACATACGCAAAGGCTGAGATCACAAACCAGAACAGAAACAAGAAAGGAACTGAAACCCATCTGGAGATGTTACCCAGGATGTCCAACTAGGACGTCCATTGAATTCTGGAAGACACAAATGTGATTAGCCACTGCAGGAGGCAAGGACCATAGATACAGGGAAGACTAAGGGGTATGACTAGATGGGTAAGGGGGCAAGCCATCACTGTGTCTATCCAAACAGTGATATTAAGAGAAAAACTGGCAAAACTGGCAATGGGGATAAAGCACAGAAGAGCATCCCAGGCCTGGGATGAAGGAGCTGCATTCTTTAGTGAAGAGTGCAGGATGGATGGTAAGAGCCTAATGTGTCTGTCATGGAGGCAGAGGATTCATCTTAGTTTTTCCTCTAGATGCCCATGTAGGGCAGGAGAATCAAGACAGTTGATGGTGATGGCGAAAGTTAGGGGGAGGAGATCATCTTCTGAGGGTTGAGACTCATAGGCGGACTTTAGGGATAGGCTTTGGTTTTGTTTTTCTTAAAGGTTGTATTTATTTTAATTTTAAGTGCCTGAATGCTTTGCCTGCATGCATGGGTCACATGCATGCCTGGTCCTCGTGGAGGTCAGGAGAAGGCACCAGGTCTCCTGAAACTACAGTTACAGACAGTTGTGAGCTGCCATGTGGTACTGGGAACCAGACCCAGCTCTTCTTTAAGAGCAGCCAGTGCTCTTAATTGATGAACCATCTCTCCAGCTCCCCAGGGATATGTTTTAAAGTTGAGTAACATGAGGGGGTACAAGTCAAACCTGTGGATGATTACAACAGACCCAACTCTGATGAAGACTTTTTTCCTAGTGATAATGAAGGAGAGTTTAAACAGAGAGTTGGATTTTTTTATTTACTCAGAACTAGACAAAATAGCGTTGGCAGTAGAACATTTTTAAAAGATGTTAGAGCAATAAAAAAGGGTTTGAGCCAGGTGGTGGTGTTGCACGCCTTTAATTCCAGCACTCGGGAGGCAGAGGCAGGTGATTTTTGTGAGTTCAAGGCCAGCCTGGGGTCTACAGAGCGAGATCCAGGAAAGACACAAAGCTACATAGGAAAACACTGTCTCGAAAAACCAAAAAAAAAAAAAAAGGGTTTGCTTAGTGGGGCACAGCAAGAGTGAGTATAAGTGTTATGGGGCATCTCTCATTTGGGTAATTCTAACATCAGGATCCATAGATTTGCTTAGTAAGACTTGGCAATATCTTTTTAAAAATGGCTGAAGCTGAGCTGAATGAGGCCAAGAGGCTAACCCCTTCGGAGACAGTCTTGGAGATTCACAAAGGGCTCCTTTGATCGTTTACCCTTTTTCTCTGCTAATTGTTCTATCAGCTGGAATGGCCTAGAATTCTGCTGACCATGTAGGTTCCTTTGGAAGCATACACACACACACACACACACACACACACACACACACACACACACACACACACACACGCATGCTCTTCATTGAAGAATGTGAACTTGTTAGAGTACAAACCATGGTGTCTCCGTGGCCTCTCTAATGAGGACAACAGACAATTTACTATCCTTGTAGGGCCTTTTTAGAGGGGTTCTGTTGTTCCCTGGGCTCTGGCTAACATGGGAAGGCAAAGGCTGAATGTTGGCTGTCCTTTCTGCTCCTTTTTATCTTTGGTTTAGTCTTTTAAGTTTTCATTGTTGAACACCCAGAAGGACAGCTATATCGGACTTGAGGAAATAATGGATTTCGGTTTTAACTTCTGTGTAATGCTTTGACACTGCTTAGATGAAAGCAGATTTGGAAATGAATTGTGGAAGGGTGGGTGGAGCCTAAATTCAGAAAGGAGACCGAGAGAGTGATAGCTGGAGATGAAGAAGGACAGAAGGTAGACGAAGGGCCACGTGGGTCATGAAAGAAGATACAAAGCTACTTTTTTTCCTCTCTAGATTCAATTCCATCAAAACTCAGCGTCTAGTCTTTCAACCTCCAATTTAAACCTGAGAAGTATGAACAGTTGTGACCGGCTATTCCGCTTTCCCATCCACCAAAGGGGACAGAATTGTGGAAGATGCTCTTGGTGCCCAGGGAGGCCCTAGCTGGCTGCAGTTACCAGGTTGGTGGGGTCAGGCTTGGCCAAACTTTACAGAACAAGCAGGATTTCTTAAGCTCTAAATAATCTTAAAACAATATTTCTTTCTGACAGCAAAATGAAGTGTTTTTTTTCTTTTTTGCAGGGTATTTGAGAATTACTATGTTTTAATATTTTATCTTTTGCTACAAAATTCCTTTCTTTTAAATCCTTTTCCTCATGTTTCCTTCCTTCCTTCTTCTTCCTCTGTCTTTTTTGGCATGTGGATTGTAATATATTATGAAATCTTATTTTTCCGGCCTGCAAGATGGCCCAGTGGAGTAAAGGTACTTGCGGCCTAATGATGCAAGCCTGGAGGCCAAATTTTTTGTTGTTGTTTTGTTTTTTTGAGACAGGGTTTCTCCGTGTAGGTTTGGAGCCTTTCCTGGAACTCACTCTGTAGCCCAGGCTGGCCTCGAACTCACAGAGGTCCACCTGCTCTGCCTCCCAAGTGCTGGGATTAAAGGCACGTGCCACCACCATCTGGCTGGAGGCCAAAGTTTGATCTCTGAAATCCAGGCGATGGTGGAAGGGAGAATCAACCCCAGAAGTGTCCTCTGACCTCCACTGTGTGCCGTGGCTCCCATGCCCACCCCCACAAATAAGAAATGAAAATGTTTAAAAATAAAATGGATGTCGTGTAAAAGGGAGTTCATAGAAGGTGAAACTTACATACACAATGAGAAAAGATGCCCAGGGGCTTAAAGATGCCTCGGGAGTTAAGAGCACTTAACTTCTCTTGTGTAGAACCGGGTTTAGGTTCCCAGCATCCACATGGCAGCTCACAACCGCCTGCAACTCCAGTTCCAGGGGACCCAAAGCCCTTTTCTGGCCTCCCTGTGCACCAGGCACACACATGTGACACACAAGCACACGTACACACAGCATGCTAATAAAATAAATAAATAAATAAAAAGAGGCCCAACCTCCATCAGTCAGATGAGACATTTCCCCATTTATGTCTGCTAAAAGGAAACCTTGGTGGAGATTTGGAAAAACACTCCTGGTTCTCTTTTTAGGCCATGGAAAACAACTTTATGTTATCTGCTATAGTAGAAGATGCAATTTGACTTACTGTGTGTCTGTATATATGTACACCTAACATGTAAAACATCTAGTACCATTTAATAACCTCCTTAAGCAAAGGGCTGAACAGCATATCAGGAACAGTTTTCTACTGTTAAACAAGGAAACTTATTATTAAGAAGCCTCTAGCTGAGGGCCCTAACCCCTGCTTCCTCTTGGCACCCTGTGAGGGCCTTAGTCCTGATGGAAGGCCATAGAGCTTTTGCACAGATAGCCTAGGACCAAGCACATTTACATACCACTTCATTGTAACAGGAGATGTAGTATAATCCAAGCCCTATATGTACTTTACTCTTCTTAACATTCACACCCCTCAAAATAGTCTATCTGCCCGTAATTTTGCATATAGAAAAGGAGTTCCACAGGGTCCAGTTCTCCTAGGAATCAAGACTTCAGGGGATAGAATGTAAGTGGGAACTTGGGAAAGAACCAGTGTAGTTGAAGTTTTCTCCCGTCTTGCCCAGCCCCATGGACCCCACAGCTGCTTATAAAATAATCACTGAGAAGCTTATATTAATTATAACTGCATGGCCATTAGCTCAGGCCTACCACTGACTAGCTCTTACCCTTAAACTCAGCCCATTTCTGTTAATCTATATGTTGCCACGTATACCGTGGCTTTATCTGTGTGCCATTACATGCTGCTCCCTGGACGATGGGCTGGCGTCTGCTGACTCTGCTCTTCCCCTTCCCAGAATTCTCTTTGTCTGCTGGCCCCGCCTATACTTCCTGCCTGGCTACTGGCCAATCAGTGTTTTATTAAACCAGTGTACAAAAGCATTATCCCACAGCAAACCAGGACACCACAGCAAACAGTTAAAATGTACATGTTTACTGCAAACATGGAAGTGACAGATGAAATCTCTCCTCCAAGAACCTTAAACTAAAAAACCTGCACACTGGCCCCCACTTCCATTCCTTCACAACCCACCAGCTTTGATCCCATACTCCCACCATTTCCTTGCCAATTTTTTCGGCGCACTGGTCCTTGTATCCTTGCACAGAAACTCCTGAATGATTGCTTCAGCCTTGGATCCTTACAGCTTTCTCCTTTTCTCTGCATATATTCAAGTTGCTGAGTCGAAGCCTGGCACTCTGATGCTCCAAGTGCTTATGGAACCCAGCTACTCTGGAGCTCAACCAACACTAGTCTGAGTGTTGTCCCCGGTCAACCCTTTGGTTCTCTTACCAGGCTCCTCTCCAGGTCACCAGTACAGCTTTTCTACTTTATCTCTATCACACATGGTTTTCATTCTCAGAATGGTTGGTCTCTTACTTCATAGGGAACTAGGAACTGTGATTGATGGTCCCTCTGTTTGCTTCCGTTAATTCCATGCTCTCTGTTCTTTCTCTCCATTTCTGTTAGACTGGAAGAGAAATTCCTTTTCCTCTTCGAGGCCAGTCTTGAATGTTGCTTGTGAACCACTCCCTAAACCTTGGCTGACCCAGGAATCCTTCTGCTGCTCTCAGCATCTTCTACTGCCTTTGACTCTGTCCAAGTCACTCACAGTGTAAGCCATAATAAAAGGGCCTGCCATGGCTTCTCCTCCAGATAGTGTCCTAACTCGCTTCTCCATCAAATGTGTAGGGGACAGTTATGCCACACCTCTCAGACGATCTAGATTCTTCCTTCTTCTTTTCTAACCGGAGTCCCTTCAAATAGGTCTATTCCTAGACATGTTGAATAGTTTAGAAGTGGGTACTTGATCCACCATTGCTGGGGATGCTGTAAATGTGTTGCTCTAATTGATTGATAATTGATAGCCAGGCAGGAAGTATAGTGTAGGCAGGATAAGGAGAGAGGAGAATTCTAGGTTGTGGAAGGCTGAGTCAGAAGACACTGCCAGCCACCGCCGCCATGAGAAGCAAGATGTAAGGTACCAGTAAGCCACAAGCCACATGGCAACTTATAGATTAATAAAAATGGGTTAATTTAAGATATAAGAACTAGATAGCAAGAAGCCTGATCCATTAGGCCAAACAGTTTAAATAATATAAGCGTCTGTGTGTTTATTTGGGTCTGAGTGGCTGTGGGTCTGAGCAAGACTGGAGAAAACTCCAACTACACACCATATAAGTGATGTTTCCCCTGGTTTGTTTCAAAATGTTTTATTTAATTTTTTACATTCTCTTCTGTCTCTGTCTCTGTCTCTGACTCTGTCTCTCTCTCTCTGTAGTGTACTGTATGTGTTCAGGTATGTATGTCTGTGTGCACACTCGTGGAGGACAGAGGGAGAACTTTGATGCCTTGCTCTATCATTACCTTATTTCCTTGACGCAGGGTCTCTCACTGAACCTAAAGCTCATCCTTCAGATAGACTGGCTGGCATCAAGCTCCTGGGATCTCACTCCACTCTGCCCCAAGCTCCCAGTGCTGGGATTACATGCACATGTGACCAGGCCAGCTTTAAAGAAAACAAAAGCATCTATGCTAGAGATCTAACTCGAGTCCTCGTGCTGGCACCGCAAACTCGCTTACCCATCAAGCCTTCTCTCCATGCCCCTTTCTCTATTTTCAAAAGCTATGTTGAAATTGTTAAATGATTCTTCCAAAGGTGCATTTTTTTTTGGAGTTGTTTCCAGTTTGGGGCTGTTCTGAATAAAGCTGTTATAAACCATTGTTTGTTAGCCTTTTTGGAGATCTTTCTTTTTATTCCTCTTGGATAAATAAACGGCTAAGAGTGGAATTCCTGCATTACAGGTGTGAGCTGAAAATCTCAGAAAAAGGTCACATTTAATGTTAAACATTCTATAAGGCTGTGATTATTATATTATATATTACATATATTATATCATATCATATCATATCATATCATATCATATCATATTATATTATATCATTGGTAAACTGCCATATGCTGTTTGAACTCACTGAGAAGTTGGCTTTTGGAAGCAAGCTGTCTTCCACTTCAGACCCAAACATATTTACATATTTATGTCAAGTGTCCTCCAAAGTATCCTTTCCTGGGTCAGGCTGTGCCCCCACTTCCATCTCCACCCCGCCACCCCTGTTCTGTAACAGGAAAAGGAAGAACAACAAGAAGCTTAGGGAATGAAAAGCACGATGCTCCTAGAAGCATCTAGAAGACAAACTCTTTCCAATAGGCATGATGAGTCTTTATTCTATGATATAAAAAGACCTTCCATGGAAATGGGAAGCCAGAAATTCAGCCATGGAAAGCTCATCCACGGGAATGAGGGAGAGGACCCACTGCTCAGGATCGACCAATCAGCGGTTCCAACTGAGTGGCTCGACTCCCCACTCAGTTCCTGCTGGATGAGTATCAGCACCTAATGTGATAGTGTTGTCCATTTATCTGCTGCCATTTGTTCTTTTATTTGGTGGTGTTACCCACAGAAACAGTCTGCTCCACCCAAAACTCTCTCGATTGGGAAGCCAGCTGGCCATCCCCATGGGGCTTCCCAATCTGTTTCTGCTGGATGTTTATAAACCCCAATGTTACCTTCTGTTTGCTCTCTCAGATGGGCCACTGAAGTCATTAGCCCTGAATGTTGTGAGCTCCTGATTTGATGATGTTTGTTTGATGTTTGTTTGATGCTCTGTCTATCTACCTATTTTGGCATGCATTTTTGACTCTATTTTTATTTAATAAACTTGCTCACTCAAAACTGAAAGTATGGCTATTGTAGATCAATTTTTGGATTAGAATTGTGCGATTGTGGAAAGTAGGAACATTGCAAATCCAGAGTCCAAATCATCATCTTTAGTTCCTGTAACATCCCTTTACGGCCCACCTTCTGCATCCTGCTTAGCATCCTTTCAACTATCAGGAAAGCCTTTGCAATGTATTCATTTAGCAGAGCACTAGCTTCTACTAACCCCAAATCTACAGGCGTCCTCAGATGACATATGAAAGCTATGGTAGAGTTTTCCTCGCTTTTCTATAACCTGCCCACCCACTGCCTCATGAATGTACTTGGGGAACACATTGATTTATGACTGTCTTCTGTTCTATGACCAAAAAAGTTCATGTAACCACTTCCATGGTAGAATATGTTACTCGGGGCAACTGGAATCTGTGTTCTCAAGCCATGGACACTCATAGTAGGTTCAGAATTAGCCCATATGCCTTTGGAGATGAGAACTGTGTTTCACATGGACAGTTTACCTTTACTGGCAGGGAGAACTGTTCATGTAAGTTCTGGGGAAAATAGCCTGGATTGGTCTGAAAGACTCCTCCAGCAGACGGACTGATTAGAATTGTGTAATTGTGGGAATTGTTGGAATGCTGAGAGCCAAAATTATCTTGGGTTGTATTTAGCCCCTTAAGTAGCCAATCCTGCCTTCCATCTACATCAGCTGTAGTGTCCATTCAGTTTATCCCTACTAGGTGAACTTTGAGAGGGCTTTAACTTAGGAGACCACTAGCTTCCACCAAGCCTGAAGCTAACACTGTCATAGTGTGTAGGACCAATAGCAGTATCCCTGCCTGCCTGCCTGCCTGCTGGTCCACCCCAGAATGTATCTGAGAAATTCACTGATTTATGATTTTCTTTTGTTCTGTAACCACAGAGGATATGGAAAAACTCCTTCAGTGGGGCATGTTACTCAGGGGATTCTAAATCCGTATTCCTGGGCCATGGTCACTTATATTTAACTCAGAGTAATCTCTCCCTCCCTCCCTCCCTCCCTTTTCAAGGAGAAAGCTGTATTTGGCAATGGCATTTTCATCTTTATAAGAAACATCTAAGCGGTTCTCCAAAGCAGGCAGATGCTCATACATTTTACCCAATAGTGTGTGAGAGTTCTTTACACTTTTACCAATATGTGAGATACCTAAATTTTCATTTCCCTGTGTGTGTACATATATATGTACATATATGTATGTGATATATATATTACAAACACACACACACACACACACACACACACACACACACACACACACACACACACATATATATATTTATTTATTTCTCACGAGCTTTTTTGGATCTTTCTATATTTCTTTCCTGAAATGTTGGTCCAGCATTTGATTGACAGGTGAGTAAAACCACCATGTAAACCCACTTCTCCAGATGATACAGCACCTCACCTTTCATGTAAAGGTTTACCTAAGCCAAGTCGTGTTTCAAAAGCAATCAGCAGTTTAAAACCGGCATTTCTGGGGTTTAGATGGAATTCTCTAGTGAGATTTTCGTGAAAGAGCTCCCCTTCAGCCTTGTCTTCTGTCTTGTGTCTTGGACAGCATGCTTCCATTGGTGTGTAAGCCGAGCAGCAGACGCCTTGGCTGTAGTTACCTGTATAACAATTGCGGCTACTGTCCTTCCTCCAGTCCCACCAGACAGGCTGCAGAGTCCCAACAATGTGTCCTGCTCTATTTCCTTTGACTCTAAAGGGAGGCTTCGCCTGCCCTATAAACCAACCCTTACTTCTTTCTCCCTGAGCCCATGGATAAATCAACAAACAAATGAATAAATCAACAAGAAGCTAAGCCTGAGAACAACTCATCATAATCACTGGCATGTGTAGGAGGCACCGCGGTTTATAACATGTCTCCACGTGTATAATTTATTTTTATCTTCAAAACGAAGTCCGGAGGCATCATTATCATCTGCATTTTACAGAAGAAGAAAATTAAGGCTCAGGGAGGTTCAGGGAGGTGCTCATGGTCGTCGTGGTTGGCTGTTCTTTCTGAGAAAGGAGGTTTGTGGTTGGGATTCATAGATCACAACAAGGCACAAACAGCAGTGTAGACTCGTGCGTGGGGATGAAGGACAGTGGACGATGGGAGCCTTAGACGCTGGACTCCATACAGCCCCGAAGGGTACCAACCTAGGCTAGCTCAGGACACAAAGGAAGCTCTCCCAGTATGCTCCTTTGAGCACGAGTTGTGACCTGCCTTCATCATTGCTTACGAACTTCTAATTAAGACAATGCTTCTTTGTTTGATTTGGTTGTTTCTGGAACAGGGGCTAAGGTAGCCCAATCTGGTCTCAGGCTTTCTTTGCAGCCAAAGTGGTTGTTGAATTTCTGACCCCCCTCCATTGACCTCTTAGATGTTTGTGTTATAGGCATGTGCCACCATGTGGGGTGCAAGCCCAACTCAATTTCTAAACCCTCCTATACATCCTTTCTTACTCTCTTCCAAATTCATGGTCTACTGTTGTTGTTGTCACATGCATATATGTATACACACACACACACACACACACACACACACACACACACACATATATATATATATAAAATCCTAAATATAACCTGCTCAGTCTGAATAATGTTACTTGTATGTATGTTTTCCGGGTTGATCATTTGGTATCAGATAACCAGTTGGTGTTTTCTTCCCTGGAGAAGATTATTTCTCCTACACTCAGCATTCCTGTGTTGCCTGTGGCTCTTTGCGCAGGGCTGAGAGGCCCCGTGGTCTTTCCCTCATCCACTTTAGCGTGTCTATTGTTGTTGTCCTTATTCAGTCATGTTGGTGAGACTTTTTGGACATAGCTTCTGATGTTACGAGGAGACAATCTCACAGTAAACTCCAGGACCTTCTGGCTCTTACAATTTTTCCACCCCGTCTTCCACAATGTTCCCTGAGCCTTAGGTGTGGGAGTGTTTTGTAGATGTATCTATTGAGGCCAGGCACTGGCTGTGGTTTTCTGTAATGGTCTTCATATATTGCAAAGAGAAGTTTCCTTGATGAGGAGTGAGACAAATATTTATAGAGTAATTAGAGATTATGTTGGTTTGGTAAAGTGGTGGTTGTGGATTCTCCTTCAAGATCCGTGACTTCACTAGCCTAGAGTAGCTGTACTTCTTAATCTCATGCCATCAAAGTACTAACGAGGCTTGAATGTACTTAGTTCTGAGATCAGATGATATTGGACGTGTTCAGGATGGTTGGGCCATAGACTGTAAGCTTTTCCATTGCAGCTCTCCAATGGTAGAGGCTTGTAAGGGCCATTCTGGGGGCACTAGGAGCAAAGCCTCGAGGCAAAACTGAAAGAGATGCTTTTAAATATGATGCTATTTTTTGCCTTAAACATTCACACAGATTTCACATTCTTCTCCATAATAAGGGTGTAGATTTTTCAGATGTTTTCATATTATTATAAAAATGATGACCTTTGCAGGGATGCATGCCATCTTCATTCATTCAGTCTCAGGATCACCAGATGAATTGACTCATTCCCCACTCAGAAAAACAAGGCTCAAGGAACTACATATCCTGACTTAAAGACATCTCAATTGTACCTTAAAATGATGTCACTTCAAGTCTCTATCAGCCATTAGTGATATGGTACCATCCAACAAACCTTAGAAAAGCAGGACCAGAGGCTAGGAAGCTGGAAGAGCACCAAAAGAAAGGGTAGACATTCTATAGAAATTCCAGATGCAGCTGACTTTTTCTTGAGCACCTCTGCAATGGATCCTTGGTGCCCCAATGACTCCCCCAAGCTGTACCCCCTCCACCACCTGGCTCCAAATCACGAGCAGTAGCAACCAGGGCTGACAGCTCTGATGAAAAATGTCTTGTCTTGCAATGCAATGTATTTGTTGGTGCTTCCATGGCTGTGGAGAATTCCCAGGTAACTCTTGACGCGCGCACCGTTAAACGCTTTCAAAGGCGGGGCTTCTATCTGCCGCGACCTAGACAGCCAGACAGGGAGATCTGGATTTAAGGCTGAGACCACCAAACAACTCATCAAATAGCACCTCTCCCTGTACCTTCCTAGTGCTGTGACCCTTTGGTACAGTCCCTCATGTTGGGGTGATCCCCAACCATAAAATTATTTTCATTGCTTCTTCATACTGTAATTTTGATACGGTTATGAATCATAATGTAAATACCTGTGTTTTCCGATGGTCTTAGGCGACCCCTCTGAAAGGGCCGTTTGACCCACCCCCTAAAGGGATCGTGGCCCACATGTTGAGAACCACTGCTCTATAACATCCTTCTCCATAGGAAAAGAGGGGAAAAAATGGGGTCTTCAATTTAAATCCTGGGCCTCCATGTTGTCAAAGACTTCTACTACTGGTCAATTGGATGATAGAGGAGAAAATTCACTTTGAAAGCCACCCCCAAACACACTGTGACTTAGCTGTCACTAAGGTTTGGGTGAGAATTAAAATGTAGCCCACGTTTCCAATTAACAATGTCAAAAACTGAATCATAGATCTAATCTGTATCCCTTGCTAGATGGCCCTTGTTTGGAATCCCTCTTTGGTATGCAGAATGCGTTTGACCTGCAGAGTTTTGCCCATTGGGCATCTGCTCTTGTCCAGTCTTTTATCTCCAGACGCAGAAGAAAAACGATGCCTGGACCAGTTGCTTGGCTAGTGTGTGACAGAGCTGAGATGCCTGGACCATACTCCTCTTGCCATACCCCTGCCTCTGATGAGACTGGCCAGAGGGTCAGTTTTGTGGAAACTGCATGTGTCTTCCTTAGTCTATTTCTGAGGCCAGTTAGATGCTGGGGCTACTGGATACCCACTGCTAAGGCCAGCACTCAAATATATCAAGACTCATTGGATCCTACTAGAGATTGCTGTACCAGAGTCAGGCACAGGCAGTTCTGTCTGGAAAGCGAGCGTGTGTATTTTCCATTTCTATTTGGGAAAGCCTGAGGGACTGGTAGAGACTGTGTCAGGTGCCAAGGTCTCCTCAAGACCCTTCTGGAAATAGTCACTCTTGCTGTCCTTGAAAAGTGACAGAGAATCATTTGGTGGGTTTCTTTTTAAACGGCAAGATATTGTTAAGATCCTCAGGCCTAAGCTGGGCAGTGGTGGCGTATGCCTTTAATCCCAGCACTCGGGAGGCAGAGACAGGTGGATCTCTGTGAGTTTGAGGCCAGCCTGGTCTACAGAGTGAGTTCCAGGATAGGCTCCAAAGCTAGAGAGAAACCCTGTTTCAGAAAAGAAAAAAATCCTCAGGCCTTTAGTCCCAGCACTGGGTGGGGGATGGGGCAGAGGCAAGTGGATCTCTGTGAGTTCAAGGCCAGCTTGGTCTACACAGTGAGTTCCAGGAAAGTCAGAGCTGTTACACAAAGAAACCCTGCCTAGAAAAACAACAACAGACTCCTTATGTGTTCAAATTTAGCCATCCACCAGCTCAGTAGGTTATAGGCGTAGGTTATAGGCGTTAAAGTCTTGATGAGTACAGCCACCCCTGCCGTGTCTTTGAGAACATTCTCCCAAGCTTACTTCTTGGCAGTTCAATACCTATTAACCGAATCATTGCAGAGAAAATGAAGTACTGTGGATTCGGTCCATTCACGTTAATCTATGCTGTATCACTCACAGCACCACCCACAGAGATAGTGGTGTGACTCTCTGGGGCTGGTGTCATTTACTCAGACCACAGGTGAGGCTTTGGGTGCAGGCTACTTTGGACCTGTTGTAACAGTCACTCTGCAGGGTGGTTAGTTTAGAGAGTGATCCCTGTGCTCTTGTAGGAAAACATTGGTTATAGAGTCTCACGGACCTGGGTTCCAATCCTGACTCTGCCCCGCAGTTACTGGGCCATCTTCGATAAGTCACTTAGCTTTTCTGAGTCTCAGTTTCCTTATTTCTAAAATAACAATACCCACCCCTATTGGAGGATGGAATACTGTAAGTACAAAGGAGTCTGACATTTGAGGACTGTCAAATACATTTTCTTCCACCGCCCACCCTGCCCAGTTTGAGCAAAGCAGAGTGATTCACATTTGTAAACAATAGTTGAAGTTGCAGAGTTGTGAGTCTCGTGCCTAGAAACATCAAGCCTCACCTCTGAAAGCGGGGAGAGGACCTGGGTGTGCTTCATGTTCAGCACTGTTCTATGAACGCTGGTAATTCTGGGAGTTTCTAGGGACAGCAAGAGCCTCCACCTAGTTTCACCTTTAAATTCTTTCTCCATCCTTTCTTATTCCTTTCTGAGCTTTCTCATGTTTGTCCTGGAAGCCTTACGTCAGTAGCCCAAATCGTCCCTGGCCAGCTCTTGGGCAGGCCACAAACACAATGCCTCGGTGTGACCTGAAAGGTGGCATTGTTGCCAGTAATAACCTCCGAGTTTCTAAAGGCTGCCTCAGGGCAGCCAGTCTTGTGCAAAAACCCCTTATTAATGAGCAGCCCTGGCTGCAGTGTTGACAGTGGAGATAGAGGAGGCCCTCTGTGAGTCATTTCCCCGAGACTCAAGACAGGGATCACCCATCAGCTCAGAGCATGCCAGCCTTGCCTTCCTGAGTACTCCTGCTTTGCAGCAAAGCACACAGGACGAAGTGGGTGTCCTGGGACAGAGACCAGCTTCTTCCTAGGAACCTGGAGAGTGGTTTAGCTCAGTGCCTTTGTCTTCGGTCTCCTGGAAGGATTGTGTGTGTTCTCTGAAACATCTCTGGTGTACAGAGGTATCCAAGCTGGACTTTTTCCTCCACTCTGGGAAATGTGCTTTGCCTAGTAGAAGAATGTTCTTTCCATTTCCTGTGTGTGCATTCTTCTCTTGGAAGTGTGAAAAAAAATGATACTGTCTCCTTGAAGATAGATTTACTGCCAGTAAAACCCTTTTCTCCCATTTCCTTAGAAAGTTTTGGAAATGACAGCTAAAGAGGTAGTTCAATCCATAAAGGGCTGAGCACACAAACAAGAATACCTGAGATCAGATTCTCAGCACTCAGGCAAGATGCTGGGCACAGTGCTGTGCGTTTGTACTCCTAACGTTTGGGAGGCAGAGACAAGGGTATCCCCGGCCAGCTATTCTTGCCTAATCAGTGAACTTCATCTCTCAATGAGAGATCCTGTCTCAAAAAATAATGTGGAGATTGAAAGAGGAAGATACTTGATATTGACCGGTGACCTCTACACACACATACATTGTGCACACAGAGAAAATAATGGGGACAAGTGAGCACCCAGAATGCTACACCCTGCCTTTATGTGGCTCTTCTGTAGCAGATAGCTATCTTGTTAGAGGCAACTTTGGAGCCAGAAGCCAAGTTAATCTATCACACACAGCCAAGTGACACGATGGTATAAGGTTGTGTGACATCTTTTTGTACCAGACTGTGGAAATCAACATTTCAGCTGAATTACCCATTCAGAAATGAGCTAACATTTCCTGTTTATTTCTCCATTCTAGACCAATTATCGGCATCTTATTCTCAAATTTAGAAGATGCATGCCTAATATCATTTTAGGTATCCAGAAATGGTCCACCAAATAGATGCCTCCAGTGCAACCTGGGGGTTCATTAGATTCATTAATTCATAGTGGTCAATAAACACTTTGAAGTCCTTTTATGGAAGGAGCCACCTAAATCCAAAGTGCTACTATAATCAGGTCTAATGAGGCCAATGGTTTAAAGAGAGGCCTTTAAATCACATATAAAGCTCCTCTGCCAATCATCGGTACAGGACAAAAGTGGACAAGGCAGGTGAGTCTAGGTGCTCCTGTTTAAAAGCTTCCTGCTTGGTGGTGGAGCCACACTGAGGTCTGCTCAGTTGAATGAAGCCAGAGGCACAGTGAGCCCCTGCCTGATGGATTCTCCAACTGTTATAACTGTGTTCTAGGACACATTATTGTAAAGGCCACCACTCTGTGAAGTCTTAACCTGCAGGTTGCTGCCACTAAAGGCATCTTCAAAGACAGAAGAGTTTTCCCTGGGAGGTTGCAAAGGAGGTAAGTGCTAGCTTTCTTGTATCTTGTGAAGCACAGAAGATTCTTTATAAACAAAACCAAGGGAAGAACCTGTTTGGGAAGAGACAGAATACAGCAAACCTCTGCTAAGTGTTATGTGGGGTAATGTGTGGAAGATGTGGTATCGGCGTGATGCTGGATTGGAATTAACTGGGAGTTACGCTGTAGGAGGGTGCTCTATCAACTCACATGCTTGAGGCTGCAGGAATGCTGGTGTAGAAGTGGAAAACAGACTTTGAATTGGAAATGATTCTAAGCTTTTTAATTTATTTTTTTTTAATCAGAGAAACTTCTTGTTAAGAAACCTTCAAGTTTAAAAATTAATCTGTTTCTATTTCAAACCAGAGCAGGTCCCAAAGGATAAGAGTCACCACCATGGTACCCTCGGCGGTGTTCTGGGGACTTGTCGCCCTCATTGGTAAGTAGTTGATTGGCATTTTCCCGTATTCTCAGGGTGTCTGTCTTCTGGCGTAGTCAGAAAGAACAACGATCATATGGAAGAGTGGGCTCTCCTGACCTGCTCAGCCATTAACTAATTGCTTGTAATTTTCTTTGTGTGTGTGTCCATATATGTGTGTAAATATGTGTACGTGTGTACGTGTGTGTGTGTGTGTGTGTGTGTGTGTGTGTGTGTGTGTGTGTGTGCACTGCGAGTATGCTCTCACATGCAGAGGGAAAGTTCAGAATTGACATCAAGTATCTTCCTCAATAATTAATTCTCCACCTTTTTTTTTTTTCCAAGACAGGGTTTCTCTGTGTAGCTCTGGCTGTCTTGGAGCTTGCTCTGTAGCCCAGGCTGGCCTCAAACTCACAGAGATCCACCTGGCTCTGCCTCCCGAGTGCTGGGTTTAAAGGCATGTGCACCACCAGCACCCGTCTTCTTCTTTTTTTTTTTTTTTTTGAGACAGGGTCTCTCACTGAACCTGGAGTTTATGATTTGGCTAGGCTGGCTGTCAAGATAGCTTAATAAGTGCAGCAACTGAGCCGCCTCCCTAACCCTGACCAACTGCTTATTTTTAAGAGTATCTTCTGCTCGCTAAGATATTAATGGGAATTTTAAGTAAACATGAATTGGTCTACGTATTCTCTGACAATGCACCTACTTGGCTGGGTTTCTTATAAAGAGGGGTATGGCACATGAAGAGAAAATTCTCGATGCCAGGTAGTGGATAAGAGTTTTTATGGCCAGGTGGTGGTGGCGCACACCTTTAATCCCAGCACTCGGAAGGCAGAGGCAGGAGGATCTCTGTGAGTTCAAGGCTAGCCTGGTCTACAGAGTGAGATCCAGGACAGCTAGGGCTGTTACACAGAGAAATCCTATCTCAAAAAACCAAAAGAGAGGGCTGGAGAGATGGCTCAGAGGTTAAGAGCACTGGCTGTTCTTCCAGAGATCCTGACTGAGTTCAGTTCCCGGCAACTACCTGGTGGCTCACAACCATCTGTAATGAGATCTGGTGCCCTCTTCTGGTGGGAAGGGGTACATGCAGATAGAAGACTGTACATAATAAATAAATCTGAGAGAGAGAGAGAGAGAGAGAGAGAGAGAGAGAGAGAGAGAGAGAGAGAGAGAGAGATGAGTATATGGAGAGGGAAAATCCATTAGTGTGGGAGTTTAGAATGAAAAGTTTACGTCTGTCTAGGAAGTTCGGACCTGAGAGCCTTGAGAGCCTTTGGGGGAGATCATGAAATGAGTGAACGATGCGTGGGGATTTACTATGAGAAGGGAAGAGCCTGTTGGATGGAAGCAATGATTTAGAAAAATCACAGTGTTGAGATGGAGTGTTTGGGATAAAGTGAGCTAGTTGGTAAGGCCAGAACAGAAGACTTCTTTTAATTTTTTACAAGTACTTTGTTTTATGTGTATAGGTGTTTTGTCTGCACGTATATGTCTGAGCACCATGAGCATGCCTGTGTAGGACAGAAGAGGGCATTGGATACCCCAAAACTGTAACTGCAGATGGTTAGGAACCACTGTGTGAATGCTGGGAATCGAACCCTGGTCCTGGAGAAGGTTAGTGGGGCAGTAAGGGACCTTGAACAAGAAGAGGTGAACCAGGTGTGGTGGCTCATACCTGTAATCCTAGCACTCTGGAGGCTGATGCAAAAGAATTGACACAAGTTTGAAATTAGCCCAGGCTTCATAGTGACTTCCAGGCTAGCCTGGGATACAGAGTGAGAATTTGTGTCAAAAAAAAAAAAAAAGATGGATGGATGGATGGACGGACGGACGGACAGACAAACAGACAGAGAGATGGAAAGAAAACATGGAAACAATAGTTAAGAAAAATGAAGGCCAATTGTAAGCAGTGTCCCGGCTGTCATGATAGATGGAGAAGAGAGTACTTTGAAAGTCTTTATTCTAAGTTTGGAAATGGAAGCCCAATCCAAGAGCAATACTTTGCAGTTACTTTTGGTCAAAAGCAGAGCAACATGTTCTTAAATTTTTACTCATTTTTAATTGCCAGGTGGGAGCAGAGTTGTATAGCCAGTCAATTAATTATGAGCCATTGTACTATCTGTGCACAAGTGAAGGATGACCAATTTTAAAAAGACTGTGTGTTGATGTTAGCACAGTCACAGAGAGCCCATGGTCATATTGCAGGTCCCTTAAAGCAAGCGTTCTCAAGCATGCAGAAAAGTCAACTGATAATGCTGCTTGAAGGGCAGGCTCTTTGGCCTCGGGGCTAAAATTTCTGATTCAGTACACCTGGTATGAGGAGCCCGGGGCAGGCATTTTTAATAAGTATCCCAGGTTGCTTTGATGTGGGATGTGGGCTAGACAGTGAACAGGCAAAGGTACCTCTCTATGAATGGAAAGTGAGCCTGTCAATATATTTATAGTGATGTAAGGTATTGGGGGCCAAGGAATGAAGTGTGAGCATGATTTTATTTGCCTTTGTAATATAGGTGAACAAAAAAAGGTTCTCTGATAAAGCAATTGTTTTTTGGTGCTGAGGACTGAAGCTTCATTCATGCTGAACACACATTCTAGCCTTGAAATAAGCCCCATTCCCTTTGATAAAGCAACTTTTGAAGGAATATTCTAAAGATATTTTTTAAGGACAGTGTCACAGTAGCTAAGGCTTCGAATATCACCTTGTAGCCTAGGCTGGCCTTTAACTCCCGATTCTCCTAATCCTACTGAGTGCTGGGATTGTAGGTGTGTACGGCCACTTCCAGTTTACATCTTGTTGGTGATAAAACCCAGGACTTCAGGCAAGTCAGGCCAGCACTCTACTTGGTGTGTACTGAGCTACATCATTCGGCCTAAAAATTCTTTTAGCTGTAGAAAATTTCAAACCTACAAAACAGAGAGTTGTATAGTAAGCTCCCCCCTACCTTGCTTGGCTTTGATGCTTGATGTGTGTGTGTGTGTGTGTGTGTGTGTGTGTGTGTGTGTGGTGTGTGTGTGATGTGTGTGTGTGGTATGTGTGTGATGTGTGTGCGGTGTGTGTGTGTGTGTGAGGTGTGTGTGATGTGTGTGTGATGTATGTGTGAGGTGTGTGTGTGTGTGTGATGTGTGTGTGAGGTGTGTGTGTGTGATGTGTGTGTGAGGTGTGTGTGTGATGTGTGTGTGAGGTGTGTATGTGGTGTGTGTGTGATGTGTGTGTGTGGTGTGTGTGTGATGTGTGTGATGTGTGTTCAAGCACGCACATACATATGTATATGTGACATGCATATGTTTGGTTGGAGTCTTTTAGAGCAAATCTAAAACATCAAAACCTTTTGCCCGGGGCTGGAGAGATGATTCAGGCGTGTTAGGAGCACTGGCTGCTCTTCAAGAGGACCCACGTCTGACTCCCAGTATCATGTGGTGGCTCACAACTGTCTGTGACTCCAGTTCCAGGGGATCCAATACCCTCTCCTAGCCTTCTGTGACTCCAGTTCCAGGGGATCCAATGCCCTCTCCTAGCCTTCTGGCACAGATGTAAAGGCAGGCAAAACAACCACACACATAATAAAATAAAAACATCTCACTGGCAAAATGTAAGGACCTTCTCTGGCAGGAGATGCTGATCCTGGCTTGCCTTACACATTTCCTGTCCTAAGCCAGGAAGCGGGCATTTTTCTAGAAGATCTGGACCCTCTTAGAAGGGAGCAGTATTTAGAGACTACCGTTGGGAGCTAGGGGTGGGCCACTGGTTGGGGTTGCCATTTCTTCCAGATCTTCTGTACCTCTGCAATGTTACATAAAAAAATTTCTGTTTCTAATGGCATATATGTTATCATTTATGAAGAGGGGTGTCAGAATAACCAATGGTGAGCTTTTAATATAATTTATGATTGCTTTATGATCCAGTGTATTCATATATGTATGTCATATGATGTATTGGTTATATTCACATTGACATAAGTTCACCTGAAATAATTTTCCCTTATTGTTAAGTAGCCTTCCAATTTTGTGTAGAGTCAGGTTTGTTCTTCTTTTTCTGTAATTCCTTTTTCCTAGTCGATTTCATTTATTAACTATAGTGGCATTTATATGCCTCCAAAGTAAAAACTATTTGAAACTATACAAAATATTTAGAAACGTCTAGTCTCTACCCATCTCTTTGGTCCTTTTACCTCCCCCTAACAATTCTTACTGGTCTTTGGTTCATCTTTGTACTATGTCTTTAAAAATATAAGCAGATTGTGCATGAATATGTGATTATATTTTCCCTTTTCTTACATGGAATGTGAATATGCTATTGTAGAAATGTATCAATATAAACTTCTTTTTAGTGTGTTTAAACATCTTTCATATATTTAAAGATGCTTTCTTTTTCTCTGTGCATTCTATTTATGTACTTTACTGGTCATGTGATGTTTGAACATGATTTGCATAGGAACCCACACACTTCTTATATTTTAAATCATCTTTAGATGACTTTTAATATTTAATGCAATGTGAACTGTAACGAGTCTTTCTTTGTCCAGCCAGCTCCCAAATAATGACATGGAGACTTCTTGTTAATTATGAAATCTCAGCCTATAGCTTAGGCTTGTTCCTAATTAGCTCTTATAACTTAAATTAACCCATCTATATTAATCTATGTGCTGTCACGTGGCTTGTGGTTGTTACCTCTCCTCCTGCACATCCTGCTTGCTCTGCATCTCCTGGTGTCTGCGTTTCTTCTTCCCAGAGTCCTTTTTGTTTCTGGAAGTCCTGCCTAGTCCCTTCCTGCCTAAGTATTGGCCATTCAGCTCTTTATTAAACCAATCAGAAGGCACTTTGGCAGAGACACATCTTCACAGTATAAACAAATACTCCCTAAGAGTGAATACTATGTAAATAGTTCCAATTCTATATTTCTTAAGGAATGATCAGAAAAATTCATATATACTTGTTCAGTACGGGCACAATATAGTCCATCCATGGTTGGTTTGCAGAAGCCAAAGTCTGGGAAGGCCAATGATATTTACTACATGCATCCCGAGCACAAGATAGGACAGCCTTAGAGGGTGATAGCATGATAGAGGCTAGGCTGCTCAGTGTATCACATAGAAACCCATTTTTCTCATAGTACTTGATGGCCTTGCTGGTTTCTGCTTTTATCATCTGGATAATCTCTTTCAGTATTCTGACCTATGTGGTAGTTTTGTTGCCTAACTTTTGGGTCCATTCACAATTCCTTTTTGGTCTATCTGTGAATGGGAGAAAGTGGGTTGTGCTTGTCTTTTTTTTTTTAAGTAATAGTTTTTATTAATTATTTTAGAGTTTCATACATGTATTTGATATAATTTAATAATATTCATCCCCTACTCCTCCCCATAACCCACCCGGACCCACACCCAAACCCTTCCTGATGTGTCCTCTTTCTAAAAAAAATTTTTTTTTTTTCGAGACAGGGTTTCTTTGTGTAACAACCCTAGCTATCCTAGATCTTGCTCTGCAGACCAGGCTGGCCTCAAACTCACAGAGATCTGCCTAGCTCTGCCTCCCGAGTGCTGGGATTAAAGGCATTCACTACCACCGCCCGGTCCTTAAATCTTTTTTTTAGTGAGTACTGTATTAACATCATCTCCACCCTTTCCTCCAAATCCTCCGGTGTCCTCCTCCACTCGCTTTCAAATTCAGGACCTCTTCTCCTTTACTGTTATGTATATAAATACAACCTACTAAGTCCATGAATTTGTTTTTCAGAACTTTACCTTAAAATACATTAAAAATCTTTAGAATTGCCTTGGTTTCCTAATAAAGTAAATAGTAGAAAGAAGAGTTCCATTTGTTATATGAATAATTCTAAGGAAGTAAAGTCTCAATATTGCTACATTCATAAAAATTATATATATAGTGAGTGAATTCAGTTATCTTTAAAAAGCTGTTGGCATGAATGAGGAAATACAGTTATCTTAGCAGACATTGTTTGCTTGGAGGAAGGAAAGGAAGAAGAAATGATAAAATCATAATCTCAAGAAATAAAAAAGAATTAAAAATAAAATTTAAAAATTGCTAAAAATACAAAATAAGTTAATGAACCTCAGAACAATGTGAAAAAACTTACAACACTATGGAAAATAATGTCAGATTTCCTTTAGCTGAGGGACCTGAACAAACTAATTAGGTCACAATGGCACGGTAGGAAACAGACACAGATTTGACATACGCTGCTATGGTAACTTAAATCATTTATTTCTAATGTTATTAAATGGGTTCAGACCCTCGCCTTATACCAACATGACTCAAAATGAGAGTCTAGGCAGCTTTTCATAGCACCTTTCTTGTTTTTCTAAACAAAGACAATTTTTTTACTTAACTGTTCACACCCTAGAAGTGTTTATATCAGAAGTTGTTTTTAAAACTTTTTGTTTTTCGAGACAGAGTTTCTCTGTGTAGCTTTGGAGCCTGTCCTGGAACTCACTCTGTAGACCAGGCTGGCCTCGAACTCACAGAGATCCACCTCTGCCTCTTGAGGGATGGGATTAAAGGCATGTGCCACCACGGCCTGGCTTGTTTTTAAAACTTTTACTAAATCTTATGCTGGGCAGGGACACAGCTCAATGCTAGAGAATGTACTTCACATGAGAGAGGCCATGGGTTTGATCTCAGGGCTGGGTAGAAAAATCCTGTGGCCACTTTAATTCTGATGGGAACTTCAAAAAAGAATATATATATATATGTATGTATGTATGAAACCTATATGCACTGATTTTCACACATATCTCCATGGTGTTCTGGAATAACATCTAGAAGCTAAAACAAAGTTTGGAATGAAATGGGAAAGGGTCACTTTTGCCTTTGTCTGATGAATTCTTGGTAGAAAAAGGAGTTGAACAGGAATAAGTTATGGTCTCTGCTGTGGCTTTGTTTTCTTTTATGATCCAGTCAAGCAATATTTTCTCACAGCTTTACATAAATATCATTTTGCTTTCCAGGCACTTCCAGGGGCTCATACCCGCTCACTCATTCCATGAACCCTCATCTGTACCCTCGACATTACCATGGCTGCTATGGAGACATCATGACCATAGAGACTTTTGGGGCCCCCTGTGACATAAACAATCTGATTAACTGTGGTAAGTACAAAATAGAGCAGGGTCCTGCCCACCATCTCCATCATCATCATTTGCAGAGTTTTTCTTAGGAGGTTAACTAGTTTTGAAAAGGAGCCAACACTACAGTAACAATCATGAACCAAAATTAAAAGTTAAAAAAAAAAAAAAGCTGGGTATGGTGGTGCACACTTTTAATCCCAACTCTCCCGAGGCAGAAGAAAATGGATCTGAGGCTAGACTCTATATTTCAAGTTCTAGGCCAACCAGGGAGATCCTGTCTTAAAAAAAAAACCAGAAAGTTAAAAAAAAAACAAAACAAAAACGCCCTAGTCAACCTAATATAAACCACTTCATTTTTCTCTCCCTGGTTCTTTTCAAACTGTGTCCAGGTGTGTTGATTTTGACATAGTAAAACCATTCCTTTAAAAAAGCTTCAACTCTGGCTTTTTCTGCTCAGTTCATGCTGCAGCATGCATAGTCTAAGCAAGCAGTCTCTTGGTCTCAACACTTTTCTCCTTTGTAATCCCATTCCAAAATCTTCCTCATGCAAGGTCACATACAAGCCCATGTTCTCAATGCACGGACCAGAGGCTCAGCAAGGAGTCGCATCCTCTGGCACGGAACTGGCTGGTTGCAGAGCCAGCGTAAAACATGGCGGCTCCATGGACTCCTAGTCCTTCTGATGCACCATCCTGGCAGCAGGGAGAGGGAGAAGCTGCTGAGGCTCCAGCCGGAGTTGGTGGACCTGCCTGGGTTTCTGCAGTTAGAGGCTGTCTTAGAACGATCGTCCTGAGCTGTGGGTGTGGTCAGAAGCTGAGGCTAAATTGGTTAACTCTGAGAACCGGTTCTTTCCTGGAGTAGAGGAAATTTTTTTTTTTTTTTTTTCTGTCGACGTAGGGATCCACGGTTCGGAAATGTTTGCGGAGATGGACTTGAAAGCCATAAAGCCTTACCGTATCCTCATCAAAGAAGTGGGACAGAGATACTGCATCGACCCAGCGATCATCGCAGCCATCATCTCCAGAGAAAGCCATGGTGGAGTTGTCCTGCAAAATGGCTGGGACCATAGAGGGCAGAGATTTGGCTTGATGCAGGTACATAGCCAGAGACTTCCCGTCAACCTAACTTTACCTCTCCTCGCAGAAGCTCAGCCCAAACTCAAAGTCCATTCCAGGACCTGAACACCCAAGTGTCTGGGCATAGGGACTTCAGGACATTTTGCTTTGTGACACATCTGTGGTGTTTCATTCAAAGATTAGCAGTCATTAGGCATTACTTTAAAATGTTTCCTTGTATCATGACTACAATGTATCAACTATACCATATCTATAGCTATTATAAACAACACGAACTATACTTCAATTGGGAAAGTTTTATAAAGGTTACTATTAACCTTTACAAAATATTAAATTAATAATCATAATTAATAATAATAATTTGTCCTGTTGGGACTCCTGAAGTAGTAAAATTCATGAACACAAATTGAAAAGCTATAATTAAGCCCTGATTTAACTACCCTTGTTCCTTTGGATTAACTGGAGTCTAACTATTTAGATATTTGTTTCAGGCCTTTTATTTGTTGGTTTTGAGGCAGCATTTCACTCTGTAACTCTGACCAACCCAAAACTTGCTTTGTAGCCCATGCTGGCCTGGAACTGGTGGTGGTCCTCCTGCCTCTGCCTCTTTAGTGCTGGGGTTATCTGTATCACCAAGCCTGGCTATATGTTTGTTTATATTTTATTTGAATTAGTTGCATAGTGATTTTCATCGTGAACGTCTAGAGGTTGGATATTATTTGTTTTGAAACATTTTTTCCTTCTCATCCTCCTCCTCCTTCCTCTTTTTTGCCTATCAGAAAGCACCTAGTGAGTGTCTCCCAAACGGGTCTTTCTCTGACTCTCTAGTCCATGAAAGACAAGTCTTTAGAATATAGATTTTTGTGGATCAAAGGAAAGATGCTGAAGCCAGTGTTTGAACTGGAATACAAAGGGAGACCTAGGAACAGCAGAAAGTGTGCCACCTTGCCCAGATACTGACATGATTGGATTTTCTAGCTTGATAAAGCACACCATCCTATTGGTACCTGGGACAGCAAAGAACACCTTCTACAGTCCGTTGGGATTCTAACAGAAAAAATTAAGGCAATCCAGAGAAAGTTTCCCACATGGAATCCTGTTCAGCACCTCAAAGGTAGGTCCTATGCCTAGTGCTTTATTTAAATGAGAAGTGAATGAGACTACTAAAAGTGACTGCCCCAGGCCCCCCAGGCCTCCATTGGCTTGGCTGGGAGACAGCCCATCTAAAGAATGCTTTAGCATCCTCTGAGCCATGCATGACTTCACATCCTTCACCCTCCTGCAAGATGTCGGGTTTCTTACGGTACTTCTGGTCAACTATTAAGCCACTGAATGACACCTAAGCATTAGTGCAATAGTTAAAAAGTGTTTGCCTCCTCAGTTTTTCCCCCTGATTCAACACTATTAACTATTTTTCAAATTGTTTGAATAAACTTTTACTCTGAGAAATGTCAGAGCTTCGGTTACCCCAAGAAGTCTAAGGGAAACTTTTGTTTGGCTGAACTCAGAGCCCCTCAAGTTCAGCAGCTTCCAGACGGAATTAACTTACTAACCCCACCACTGTATCTTTCCTTTGCTTTTTTTTTTTTGTTTTTGTTGTTGTTTTTTGGTCTTTGGAGACACTGATATAGCCAGTCATCACAGCCGGGGGGCGGGGGGGGGTAGATTCTTTTTGTCTTGGACTCACTTCTTTTGCTTTCTACTCATCCACCAAATTCTTCAGTTTGCCTCTTATGGGATCATGATTTGTATATTTACATGTATACTGTCTTTCCACACTTTAACAGTCTGAATTCTGAGCAAAGAGTTTTCTATTTCTATCTCGAGGTCCCCAAAGGCAGGAAGGAGAATATCAGCATAAAGCATAATTCTTTTAAATATGTCAATAATGATTGAAAATGAACTTCTAGGGTAAAATAGCGCATGCATGTACACAAGCCCCCATGAAAAATGAATAATACATCTTGAGTACTTTGCACTCAGTGAGGAGTCTTTTCTGGCACACAATGGGTGCTTTAAAAACATATGAAAGAAAGCCGGGCAGTGGTGGCATACGCCTTTAATCCCAGCACTTGGGAGGAACTGCCAGGCGGATCTCTGTGAGTTCAAGGCCAGCCTTGGCTGCAGAGTGAGTTCCAGGAAAGGCGAAAAGCTACACAGAGAAACCCTGTCTTGAAAAACCAACACAAACAAACAAAAAGCAACCAACCAACCAAACAAACAAATGAATGAATGAGTGAATAAATGAGTTAATTTTTGAATAAATGAGAAAATGTTACAATCTTGTATTAGTTCTGTCAAATCTGGGCTATGTGAAGAGAAAACAGAAACCTTATTACTGTGAAATATTTGCCTGGAGGGTGGTGAGTTGATGGCCTGGGGGTTCGTGTCTCTTTTTCTGCTGACAGCTAATATTGTATCCTAAACCTGTGTGTTTCGTTTCAGGTGGTCTGACTGCTTTTAAGTCAGGAATGGGAACCATTGCCACTCCTGAAGACATAGAAGTTGACTTAGTCGATGACGTCATTGCCCGTGCCAAATTCTACAGAAGACATGGCTTCTAGGCCACTGACGAGGTACTCAACCGGCCCCTCTTCCAGAGTTTGGTGTTAGCTCACTGCACTCAATGGGAACAAAGAAATGGTTAAAATTATGAAAGGAAGTTCATCTCCAATCGTTTTAATAAAAGTAAGCAAAAGAAAGTAAGGAAAGAAGGAACAGAAGTGGTGATGTAGTTTAGCTGGCTGAGCTCTCCTAGCATGTGCAAGGCTCTAGGTTCCATCTTTATCACAAAGAAAAAAAAAACCCATGTTCACATACGGTTCCTAGGAAATATACATAGACATACATGTAGTTTCTTTGTGGTCAATATAAGCATCATGACACATGGCATGGGCATGTTCTAGCCAAGCTTCATTTTAGCCTATGATTTGAATGATCACTTATACCCTGTCTACCAGAATTACAAATAAGAAGTGAACCTTTATCCCTTTCCCAGTATCTGCCCCAATTGTTAGGACTCTGCTCATGAGATGTGTCTGTCTCAGAGGCCAGATCCTGGGGCAATCGATGGAGAGGAGATGATGGGTGTTGGTTGTGACTTGCGGTTGCCTCAAGAGAGGACACAATAATGTGTTGGATTGTGAAGCTTTCGGTATCCCTGCCAAGTGACTCCTCCTGGGTTTTTTGTTCTTGTTGGAGACGTTTGGTGGACACTTTCGGCCTGTCCCTTCTCTTTCTGAGAAGGAACCAGAATTTTACCATCCATCCTTTAGCCACTTTGGAAAGAGTCAGATAAACCATTCTCTGCCCAAAGATGACCCAATCCAGCCTGAAGAAGGGGCCAAATCAGAACTGGAACTGTTTTTGAGACAAGGTCTCAGTCTGTATCCCAAGCTGCCCTCAAACCTATAGATCCTCCCACCGCGGCTTCTCAAATTCTATCACAAGTGTGGGCCATCATGCCTCTGTGTAATCATCTCTTAGGGTTTGACAAAGCCCAAGCTTTACCAGCGGTGAAAGAGTTTTGTTCTCACCCCTGCACGTGTTCAGTCTGAGGTGTTCTGCAGATGTCCATGCTGCTCTTTTAGTTCTTTTTCCCCTGGAAGCATTGATTTCATTCAATGCCAGCCCCTTTGATGTCGCCATTGCAGAGATAGCTAATATGTAGGCCAGATAAGCTTCAAATAATTTATGAAACATGAAATAGTACACTGGCTTACACCCTGAGTCTATTTCCCCAGGGTTCTTGTTCTGACAGACACACTCGGAGATGTCCTATAGAGTGTCACGTATTAAACATGTCTTGGTTTGGTTCCCTCAGAGCCAGACCTGCGACAAAAACATGGGTGCAAATAGTTTATGTGGGGGGGGGGGGGCGCACAGAAAACAGTTATAAAGTGGTTCAGTGATATGGGATGAGAAAATATAAAACATGCCTCACCAATCCAACTACCCTAGTGAGGAATGGAACTCAACCTTGCAGGAAAGCAATGTGGAACGTGTGGAGCATTCACCTCAGAGTCATCTGCCTGCACTGGTGCAGGGCTGGCGTCTCTGCCCAGCTCCTCTGAAAGCCACTGGGTGAGGTGTCTGTCTGTACAGGGAGGGTAGTACAGACCCTTGCTAGTCCAATCTTCTAAACAAGCACAAATTTGTTCAAATTTCCAAGAGTGAGGAGTTGCAGGCACAAAAAGGAACATCAAGGGAGGATTCTGAGAGGTTCGGGGACACGGAAGGTACTGACAGGGTCTGCTCCGTGAGGCAGGGCACATTGTTCCAGTGCTTCTTGTTTGCATCTCTGACTGAATAGCATGTTACAAATAATCTGGAAAGAATACACATGTCTATTATGCCTCCTGGTTTCTGTGCCGGGCTTCTGCAGAATCTATTAGAATGAATTAGACACAATTGAGCTATCTCAGTCTCCATCCGTCTTGCATCTGTAGCACAAGAGCGAATTCCAAGGAATTTACTGAGAACAATGCCAAAACATGCCACCATTAAATTTTCTTGTGTCTTCATCCATCTCCATTTTCTTTATATTTGTTGCCTGTGTTCCTCTTAGAGATAATGATTATGAGTCAGGTTTCTCATTGTAAAGTTTACTTTTCACTTTGAAAAATTTCTTCCAAATTGGGGTGAATAGAGTTGCTGTAGTTTGGATCTGGAGTGCCCCCCCCCCCAAAAAAAAAGCCTACGTTAAATGCTCAGTCCCAACCTGGCATCAACAGGAGGAGGTGGAATCTTTGAGAGGTGGGGCCTACTGACAGGTCTTCTAGCCATGGAGGATACACCCTGGAAGTAGATATCAAGCCCCAGTCCCTCTTTTCTCCTCCCATTCATTTCCAACCACCATGAGGTCAGCAGCTCTGCTCCCTCGTACATTCCCTGCCATATGTTGCTTTGGTAAAGCTTTATTCGTTTTCTTTGATGCACCATCTGATATAAGTGTTTTTGAGAAATGCTCTTGCTATGCAGCCCAGGCTGGCCTTAGACTCAAGTCTTTTGCCTCAGTATCCTCAGCGCTGGGATTACAGGTATGCACTATCATACCTATCAAACAAACACAGAAACATACCCATCTGCATTTTTCTGTAATTACTGTGTTTAAAGATAACTACCTTTATTGACTGACAGTTTTTCCATACAAGGAAGCTAGCAAACAGAACATGAAGAATTTAGTGCCTAAGACCACTTATCTCATATATTGATAATTTCAAGGTAGTAAAAATAGACAGAAATAATATACAGATCAGTCCTCAGTTTGCTGATTGCCATTTGAAGGGTAACCTTTTTTATTTAGTGACCAGCGTTTTGTATCTGACTCTTCATCTTGTTTTTTGAGACAGGGTTTCATTCTCTTCGTAATCCTGGCTGTCCTGGAACTTGATCTATAGACCAAGCTGGCCTTGAACTCATAGCGATCTACTTGCCTCTTCCTCCAGTGTGCTGGGCATGTGCCAACCCCAACCCCCGCCGAGACTTTATATCTGACTCTTATTTGGGAATAGTCAGATGGTCACTAGAAGTCAGACCAAACCTCTGGCCAGACAAACGTAGACCACAGCAGATAAATCCAAATGAAGCAATCCATAGAGTCAGGAAGTAAGAACTAAGGAACCAGTCCTTACAGGGTTTTGAGACCATGTGAAGCAGAGGAACCTCAATGTGAAGAGCTCATCACCCACACAGCCCTTGGGGTATACTACAGGATGGACTTGTTTCAATGATAGACTGTGAGGAGCCAGAGCTCCTGCCTCCTCCAAGCCAGACATGTAACTCCTCTCTTCCTTGGGAGGGGACAAGAGGACTGTACATGCTCAGTCTTGCTTTACGTGCTCATCGAGTGCTGGTTTTGAAGAGGTGACTTTCCATCCGTTCTACAATCACACAGAAGTGAATTCTGCCAATAATCTCAGAGACTGGAAGCAGGTCCCTGCTCAGTCTTCACTCTGAGAACCTGATGTTAGCAGGAACTAATATTTATAGTAGCTCTGTGAGACTCTAAGGCAGTGGTTCTCAACCTGTGGGTCATAATCCCCTTGAGGGTTGAAAGACCCTTTCACAGGGGTTGCCTAAGACCACCGGAAAACACAGATATTTACTAAGATTTGTAACAGTAGCAAAATTACAGTTCTGAAGTAGCAATGAAAGTATTCTCTGGTGGGGGTCACACACCATGAGGAACTGTACTAAAGGACTGTGGCCTTAGGAAGGCAGAAAACCACTGCTCTAAGCAGTCTACCCAGCTACGCTACCACCACACTTCTGACTCATGGGAACCACGAGGTCGCAAGTGTTTTGAGCAGATTTGCTTATGAAACAACAGAGAGTAACTACAGCAGCCTATGCTCTGGACTGTTTCTTTAGACATTTTCATTTCTAAATATTCAACTTAACAATACTTTTAGTTGTGGGCTGTTGAATTTAAGGTTATTATTACAACTGTAACTCTTTAAACAAAACCAACAAAAACAGAAATCCAAAACAGCAATGTAGTTTCTCCTGATCTCCATATTAACATTGATACCAGAGGGACGACACAGATATTTTCAAGCCCACTGTAGGCAGGGAAATGTTTTGTTGCAATATTCAGGCAGGTCTCTCTCTCACTAGACAGCATTTAAATAAGTCTTTGGACTCCTATTTCCTCCAGGCTATACACATACTAGACATTCAATAATTGTAGAATTAAAATTGCAATTACCTTTGGGCTCATTAAGGAATAAAATCCAGTTTCATGCCTATTGTTAAAGTGACACTTTTGCCTTAATGCAGTACTTAATGCTAAGACCTGTGACAGGACACTGTAACAAATGTGCATGTAAATATTGATGTGACCTCAGCCAAACCCTAAATCGGGAATCCATGGAAGTCTGGGATCCAGACTTTATTAAGGGATGAAATGTAAATAACAGACTCATGAATACAGAATGAAGTGGAGCCGCTGCCTCTTCATCCACCAGAGAAGGATGTGGAAAGCTCCAGACCAGGTCACCGAGCTGTGGTGTGGCATCAGGAAACCTTCCACATCTAAGAGAGCGTCTGAACTTCCTCCTCAGTTCTTTTTGTTTGTTTGTTTGTTTTTTGAGACAGGGTGTCTCTGTGTAGTTTTGGTGCCTGTCCTGGAACTCACTCTGTAGACCAGGCTGGCCTCGAACTCACAGAGATCCGCCTGGCTCTGCCTCCCGAGTGCTGGAATTAAAGGCATGCGACACCACTGCCTGACTCGCTCCTCAGTTCTTATCCGGTCATGTACCCAGAGAAGACCACGCCCATAGGACTAGTCACACCAACATCAATTGGCTAAGAGAATCGAATTCCCACAACATTTCCCCTTTTTTGTCTAATTAAGAAGGTTCTAATCCTAATATAAAACTACATATAAGAACAATTATCAAGTATTGTCCAGAGGAAAGAAAAGGTAACAACATAAACAAAAGGGAACTACAACCAACAAGAACAACATCGAGCAAGAAACACATTCTAGATGTCTAGACCATAGGTAACTGGCAAATTACAGAGACTACTCAAATAGTTGTCCTATCCTTAAGAGTCCAGCTCCTGTGCCTATTATGCCCTTAGCTAAGATTCAAGAGGATTGTAACTGTAACTATCTAGTCTTCAACCCCATCAAAGACCTGAGAAGGAAAATAATATTACCGAGTGAACAAGAAGTGCAAGTGAGCAACTTCCGGAAAATGCAAGAAATGACAGAAACAGCTGGCTGCCTGGACAGTCACCCAACGTTTCTCTGCAACATGGGGGCATCCAGTTTTGGCTATAGGCCTAGAATATCTGACAGGTCAGGGACAAAGAAAAGTATAGGGCCATAGAGTGCAAGTTTTCCACTAATGAGTTGCCAAAGGCTTCTCACTACTGAATCTTCCCTAGAATTCTTATAACGTCCTACTTTTCCAGGTATCTGAAAAAGAAAAATGAGAGGATTCTCCTGGGCTAGAGAGACAGCTCAGCAATTAAGGGTTCATGCTGCTCTCCCAGAGGCCACATGCTTGGTTCTCAGTGCCCACAACAGGTGGCTCACAATGGCCTGTAACTAGAGATCCAGGGCACCTGACACCCTCTTCTGGTCTTTTCATACACCTGCACTCGTGTACATACCCACGCACACTGCTAAAAATAAATGTTTCTTAAAAATAGGATCTTTGCATATGTAGGAATTTAAGATGAGGGCATAGTGGGTTAGGGTAGACATAAGAGGTCATGTGGATAATAGTAAATACAAATAAACACACATACACATAAACTTAAAAAATCTGATATTCCTTCCTATTCATTATGTGTATCTACTGATGCATATGCACATGTATGTACACAAAGGCCAGCGGACCTTATTTGCCATTCCTCAGGCACCATCCTTTATTTATTTTTGAGTGAGGGTCTCTCACTGGCCTGGGACTTGGCAAGTAGGATAGGCCATGGATTGTCCTTCCTCAGTGAGGGATTAATGAGGGAGTGTTGGCATGACTAGCTTTTTTAAAACATGGTTTCTCAGGAGCAAACCCAGGTCCCAGGGCAAGACTTTACGGAGCTGTTTCTTTTGCCCCACTTCTCTTTCTTTAAATGGTAATCTGAACTAGTGACAGAGGACTCTTTGAAGTTCAAACACCACCCTATTTAATGCTTAAAACAGAATGGCCTGCTGAATAACTGCTAAAGCACCTTTATTTCATACACACCCTCGCTCTAGCAGGAAAAATTTATACAGAAGTGAATGTTTTATCTTGGCAGAGTGCAGTAATCCAGTTCTGGCTAAATCAGAACTGTAATTCCAAAACAAATACTTCCGTAATTTAGAGAGGAGATAAACCCATGTTCATGTCCCAGACACTGAGGCAGAGTGGTGCTCTAGCCCCAATCCGAGTTTCATGCCTCTGGTGGCATCTTTGTTCTCTTGGCACCTTTGGAATTCTCCGACAGCATCATTCACTCAAAGAACCTGCTACGGTTTAAGTATGGTTTGCTCCCCCCAAATGTTTGTGTGCTGAAAAATTGATCTTCCGTGTAGTAGGATGTGTATGAGGTTGACTTAGTGGGAGGTGACTGGATCTTGGAGCCATCACATGCAGAAGGGATTAACGCCCATCTCTGAGAGCAGGTTGTCACCAAGTGTCTCCTCCCTTCACTCTCTTGCTTCCTCTTTTGTTCATTCATTTTTAGTTAAAATATGACATCAATTCCCTCTTTCCCTCTCCAATCCCTCCCAAGTCTCCCCCTTCAAACTGATAGCCTTATTATTATTATATATATATTATACTCAGGGAAACAGAGGCATAAATGTTTACATATAACTCCTGAGTCTATTTGGTATTGCTTGTGAGTACATGGTTTTAGGGCTGACAACTTTGTATTGGATAGCCAATTAGAGGACAGATTTTTGGGAGAGAACTACTCTCTATCTCAGCAGTCAGTAACTGCTGTACTTGTCTAGGGGTGGGACACCTGCCCACCCATGAGATTTCCCCCGTCCATGTTAGCCTGTCTATTGGTTATTGTCCAGGAATTGTTTAGCCGGCCATACACTGTTGAGATACTGTGGGTACAGCTTCCCTGTCAGTGCTAAGAGAGAAAATCTCACAGCAAACTTCTGGTTTTCCGGCTCTTACAATCTTTCTGCCCCCACTTCCAAGATGTTCCCTGAGCCTTATGTGCAGGAGTTGAGTTGTGGATGTATTGACTGGGACTGAACTCCCAGTCAGTGATCTCCTCACTGGAGGGAAATCATGCTCGGTACTAGAAATCCTACCAACTACCTACAGCTGGTGAGGTCATCAGTCTTAGAGGAGACCCTTCTATTACCACATTAGTAGACCACTATAATTTCTATCTGTAGTCGAAAAGGTATCCTTGCCTGTAGCTGAGTGTAGCTCTCACTCAAAATCAAAGAAGCTTCTCTTTGCTGCAAATGGAAACCATTTGTTTGTTTTGAGACAGAGCCTCACTGCATAGTCTTGGCTGGCCTAGAACTCAAGATGTAGACCAGGCCGCCTTGAACCCCTAAGAGATGCATCTGTCTCTTCTTTCTGAGTGCTAGGATTAAGGGTGTGTGTGCCACACCTGGCTCTTGCTTCCTATCTTGCTTGCGATCTCTTCCACCACTGACATAAAAAATGTTGTGATGTCACCTATCATGCTTTGATCCTGCAGCAGGTCCTCATGAGATATGCTGCCCTAGCTCAGACTTTTCAGTACTTAGAACAAAAATAAACTCCCTTGCCCAATAAGCTTTGGGTGCTTCCTTACAGAAACACAGGACTGACTACAACACAGCCACTCACAACGTTTGTAGAATTCAATGAGAAAGCAATTAGAGAATAAAGCAGTTTCTACAAAGAGATAACACACTGTTAAAGGGTTAGGGGCCTAAAGTTTGATGATCAGACAATGCCATTCTTGCCTATCATGGAGTAAAATTCTTAGGAGACAAAGGGAGAGAATTTAACCAAGTCTATACCTCGAGAAAGAATCACAGCAGCTTTCATCAGTGCAAACGACTGGATTGGAAAACACTTTAATGAGAACCATTTCCTCAGTAAGTGCGATTTGTAATCTCAGCTGTGTGGCATCAGGACTTTGCTTCCTGCTCCACAGGCTTCAGATGCCACTGCACTACCAGTTCCCCAGTGCTCTTGAGGCATGTGCTAGACATGGTCTCTTCTGTGGGAAGTCCTTGTGGCAGCTTCAGGGGCTGGATGCGTATCAAGTGTTTAACCATTTTCAACTTTGCATTCACCGAGGGGATGTTCTTGTGAATTTGAGGGGTATGTGCCTATGAACAAGAGGAGCAATATCACAGATCAATTTAAAAGGCAGTGGTACCATTTCAGAAAAACATTAAATTGAAGGCACATCCTTTCTAAATTAACTTGTAAGTAGGGCACGCTAAGTAACACATTAAACATAAGAAATAACAAATACATGTAGTGTGGGTTTCAAAGTCTGACACTGAAGCACATGGAGACTGACATGACTATCAGAATCACCGCATACCTTCTGAAGTCCAAGCATCTTGATCGTATCTTTTTCCCAGTATGGACGCCTTTTTGTACTTTTTATTCTTGTAACAATGTGCAGTTTATGAGGGTGCTGGGGGTCCCCACCGTATTTTTCATGATCTTCAGGTCTAGGCTGAAACACCTAGAAAGGGAGAATTATAAATGGTAACTCTTCCAACTTACAGCTTTTATATATGGCCTATTCCTTCTCTTTAACGAACATACCAACATACAAACAAAAATTACATAATGATCCCATCCCTAATCTTTATGTAATCCTCAACCTCAGTCTGAGTAGTCCAGATAAAGTTTAAGAATTACATATTTCTTAATCCCAGCACTCGGGAGGCAGAGCCAGGTGGATCTCTGTGAGTTCAAGGCCAGCATGGGCTACCAAGTGAGTCCCAGGAAAGGCGCAAAGCTACACAGAGAAACCCTGTCTCAAAAAACCAAAAAAAAAAAAAAAAAGAATTACATATTTCAAGAAAAATACCAGTTGGGCAGTGGTGGCCCACACCTTGAATCCCAGCACTTGGGAGGCAGAGGCAGGCAGATCTCTGTGAGTTCAAGGCCAGGCTGGTCTACAGAGGGAGTTCCAGGACAGCCAGGGCAACACAGAGAGACCCTGTCTGGGTGTGAATGAGGAGCACCACAGGCTTCGGGTTTTAGAAGGGGGCTCTCGACCAGTGCAGTCAGTAGAAAGGAGTCTCCCCAGATCTGAAGACTCAGAATCAGAAACTGAGGGCTAAGTAGTAAATTCTGTCCTGTATATTTTATCACACCAAAAAAGTTAAGGGGTGGTGCTGGAGAGGTGGCTCTGCAGCTAGAGCAATTATTGCTTTTGCAGACAAGCAGGGTTCAGTCCCCAGCACCTACATGGTGCTCACAGCCATCCATAACTCTGGTTTCCAGGACCTGCTGCTGTCTGCCAACCTCTACAGGCACCAGGCACTCACATGGTACACACACATACAGGCAGCCAGAGAACTTACACACATAAATACATTTTAAACTAAAAATAAAATTAATATACAGTAGAGGGAAAAACATAAGGCTAAGGCTAAATGGTCTTTACTATGTAGTTGTGCTCCCGAATACCTACCCAATACATCAAAAACTAACAGCCATTCCAACCGCACACAAGGACCTATACAGCTTCATTATTGTCCCAAACCGGAAGCAAGCAGGATGTCCATCAGGAGGCAAATACATAAGTAAATTATATAAACACTTACCATTGACTGCTACCCAGCCATAAGAAGAAATAAATGATTAAGCCATGAAAGGATTTGGAAAAAACTATGTACAGGCTATATGATTCTAACTATGTGAGATTCAGGGAAAGGTAAAACTGGAAAGGGGGTAAAAAGGACACAGGTTGCTAGGGTTTAGAAGTTATGGGTGGAAGTTAACAGGTGGCACACAAGTGACATTTAGAGGAACGTGTGGTTTCTGTGTGACACTGAAATAGTGAATACATGATATGATACATTTGTCGAAATCCATAGGATACACAGCATAAAGAGTGACCCCTAGTGTAAATGATGGCCTGTAGTTAATGTCTGCTTGGTTTCGTTTTTAATAATTGTTCTATATCAACACAAAATGTTCAGTATCAGGGGAAACTGTGTTGGAAAGAGGAAACACAGAGGAAGCCTCATGATTTTCTCATCATTTTCTTCTGTATAGTCAAACTGTCTTACAAAATAGAGTTTAATTATCAAAGAGCAAGAAAGCAAGTAAAACCCAAACAAAATGAAAACTAAACAAAAAAATCAATGGAGGGCTTAGTCAGTGTTATCTAAACTTAAAAAAAAAAAAGCTCAGGGTCAAGCGGTAATGGGTCACGCAGGGGTCACACAGTTGTCTCAGGACAGTGGTGATAAAAACCACAAAATATAAGGGAAAACCATGAGCAGGAGTGCACAGACTAGGAAGTAGTAAGAGCCCATTCCTACGAAAGCCAGCGGGACCAGGAGCAGAAAGTCACCATCCTACGTTACATGCACGTGTAACTTACCAGGAAACTAGCACTAGTGGGGCTGTGACATGGCAGAGAGAGTCAGTGTGCTCGTTACCATCCCTAACAACTGAGACCTGAGTTCCACTCCCCAGTAGCCAGATGATGGTGGGAGAGAACTGACTCCACAGAATTGTCTTCTAGACCTCCAAACACAAAGTCAGGGCATGTACACACACACATGCGTGCAACACACACGGTGTGCACACACAGACACACACACACACACACACAATGAATACATTTTTTAAAGGTGCAATTTTATAAAGTTAGGTACTTTTAAAAATACTCTTTAAAAAGAAACAGGTCTTACTTTATCTGGAATCCTTGATCTGGTAAATTTGTGACGAATCCAATCTGTACCAGTGAGAGATTCCACACCTTTTCTCACAGTCTGAAACAGAAAATATTTGTTATTTAAAACTCTGTGTAGTGTGAAAATCCGTATTACCAGTGTTTAGGCAACAAATGTGTACTCTAATGTGATCTATAGTAAATATAGTAAATAGCTGATTTAACTTGGCTCCCTCACTGGATAGAACCATCTCATTTAAGCACCAAGGAATGGTAAGACATAAAGCACACACACATAGACTTCCTGTCCGAGAGTTGGTAACTTCCTTCTCTAAGGGGCCAGAGGCAAGCATTTCTACCTCTGAGCTACCCAGTCTCTACTGCTAAGACTTGCCTCTGCCAGTACAGTAACAGGTACTCAACACGGACTGCCGTAAGAGGTGCTATGCAAACCAATGGGAGGGCTGCTTCGAAATCATTTTTATAAGTGAGGATCCTCAAATTTGCCCTGGAGGTCATGATTCACCAATTCTTTTTGTCTGTTTGTGTTCCGAAGACAGGGCTTCTCTGTGTAGCCCTGGCTGTCCTAGAACTCACTCTGTAGACCAGGCTGGCCTCGAACTCACAGAGATCCACCTGCCTCTGCCTCTCAAGTGCTGGGATTAAAGGTGTGCGCCACCACCGCCTGGGAGATTACCTTTGGGAGATTATCTTCTGCTTTTTCTATGTCTGTCTGACTTTCTGTGATTGAAAATGTATTCTTGCCATAATTGAAGGGTTTCCCCTAAAACTTTAACATTAAAAGAGGGGACTCAGGCCGGGCGGTGGTGGCGCATGCCTTTAATCCCAGCACTTGGGAGGCAGAGGCAGGCGGATCTCTGTGAGTTCGAGGCCAGCCTGGGCTACCAAGTGAGTTCCAGGAGAGGCGCAAAGCTACACAGAGAAACCCTGTCTCAAAAAACCAAAAAAAAAAAAAAGAGGGGACTCAGCAGTAGCCTTTTTATTGGTTTGATCTACAGTAAAAGATGTCTTGTGGTTGAAAATATTTAGAGAAAAATAGCATATAAAACAGAAATAAATAAGGGCCAGGATGTAGCTCAGCCAGAGCATTTGCCCAGTGTTCATAAGGCTCTGAGCTTAATCTCTGGTACCATGAGATAAATAAAACAAAACAAAACCAATTAATTGATATCAAAAGGAGCTTTAAAAAAGACTAACTTGCGCCGGGCGGTGGTGGCGCACGCCTTTAATCCCAGCACTCGGGAGGCAGAGCCAGGCGGATCTCTGTGAGTTCGAGGCCAGCCTGGTCTCCAAAGCGAGTTCCAGGAAAGGCGCAAAGCTACACAGAGAAACCCTGTCTCGGAAAAAAAAAAAAAAGACTAACTTGCTTGTGTGTTCTATAATCAAAAAGAGAGGGGGAAAAAAACAAAACTTTTAGGCTAAGGAGTTAGTTCAATTGGCAGAGTACTTGCCCAGCATGCACAAAGCTCTGGGTTCAATCCTCAGCACTTCATGAAATTGGGCACTTGGGAAGTGGAGGCAAGCAGAAGTTCAAGGTTATCCTCAGTTAAACAGTGAGTTTGAAGTCAGCCTGAGCTCTATGAGAAACACAGAAAACTTACCTGCAGTCTGCCTGGAGGCCTCTGAAATACTGAGCGCAAAATGCCAGCCATAAGTATAGTAATTCTTCTCTTTAGAAGCTGAGAAGTAGGAAACAGATTGCTGGTCAAATACATTAAAAATAGACAGATTTCCCCCTTCTGTAGGAGTAAAACATAGGTAGTCATTATACACTAAGCAATCCTAACTCCATCTAGTGAGTTTAGAGTCTACGTCAATTCCACAAAACTGGGAAATGGGAGTTTCTATCACCTGAAACTCTTCACAGTGAGTATAAAAAATACTTGGTCATTTTTCTTTGTCAAAGAAATCACAGAAAATACGAAACTAGACAGGACTGAAAAATTCCACCTCTTAGAATCAGAACCAAGTACCCTCTTATTTTACATATGAGGAAAATAATTTCCAGAAAGCTATCATTTACCCAAGAGTATCTACCCATTAAGGAAGTAT